TCGTCTTTTGTGGATTAGAAGTATGTAATACTCACGAGTGCGTCAATCCGAGAGGTGAAAACGCTTGTAAAATCGCTATCCATGTGACACTCTAGGTGATTTGACGCAACAATAAGATAGGTGTCTGCTGTAGTCAGCCGCTCCTGTGTGCACAAACTTTCAGAATAACAAATTTCAACAAAAGAGTGAGTACCTTGTGGTAATAAAAAGGTCGACTGCTACTTTGCAGGGGGCTAGCATTTTTGAGACGGTAAAGAGAACTTAGACGGCTCAGCATCTCGTCCTTCCCACTTCGACACAGCGTCACCGACGCAAGGGCCTCGCCAAACACATACACATGTGACCACCTTCAAGGACATGTTTTGTGCACACCAATCCTATACTGAACACCAAACATTAACAGCAATCAAGAAGAGAGATGGACACATATCCAGCAATCTGATGTTCCCACCTCAGCCCGCAGCTCGTCATTCATCCTGCAAAAGAACCACCGACATGTAAAAAACACCCTGTGTAACATACACTCACTTTGTGAATGCGAGCTCCAGAGCTTGTGGCGTACCGCACGTTGACAGCTCCAGAGATGCTCGAATGTGACCCATGAGTCGAGATCGGCGTAACTTGAGAAGTTCAAGTTGTACGGAATAGAGGTGGTAATCTGTTACCTGCGGAAGAGATGCATGGAAAAACTCGCTCCTGCACTCTCTCTAGCTCCGCCAAGCACAGCGCATGTCCAGTCCTACCCTCGGGCGGCTCGACCATAACTGCCTCTTGGCGCCTTTTATCAATCACCATTATTGCAGTGATTTGTTGAATCAAGCTTTAGAACTGCGTTCGTCACAGCAACAAAACCTAGATGACAGACAGCTTGTGGCCATTTTGGCTTGAAGAATTTGTAAAATCATTACCAAGTGACCAAACTTGCCATGGACACAGCGAGAATGTTAGGCATGGATGTGATATTGCCACATGCAGCCATTGGACGTTGCATGATTCGACCCCTACAAGCGTTACTTCAAGCAAGGTGTGGATGAAACTCTTGGACATCTTGGACACAAAGTCAATCTCACACAATTATCCAGTAGAGCCATGGCTATGGCTTTGAGAACTGCAAACATCTAGTAGGTTTGAATGTCATGGACACTCACCTTGGTCGAAGTACACTCCACGCATGTTTCGACAACTTTGAACAAGACTTTAAGGCTCCAGAGCTGGGAGCCCAAGAGACTGGTAGCCACCTCAATCATGAACTAGAACCTAAGCTCTCATGCAGCCTGAGCAGCATAAGGATCCAGTGCAGCTCGAGCACAGCACGAGATCCATCCAGCAACCGAGCAGCCACTGCCGGATGAGGTGACCTTCGTACCGGGGAAGATCGGTACTTATTTTGCATTCACTTCTGGCCTTGTTGTATTGAGAGACCTTATGAACTTTCTGAACAAAACTAATTTAGATCTAGCAGGAATTTTTGAAATCCGATCAAGTTAGCCTTTTGATGCTTCTAACTCATATTCCTTCTTACCATCTTCTAAAGTTGATTATTGTACCGACTTATGATCGAGATACACTGCGTGCGGTAGGAGCTCCCAAAGAGATTGTAATGGTTCAAGTAGTGGTAGAGCTTGTAGAGATGGAGCCGGTCTTCAAATCCCTTCTGCTTTGGCATCTCCTGGAAAAGTAAAGAACAAGACTGTTTAACACGCTTTCTCCTCAGCAACGATGAAGGGAATGACGACTTTTTACTTTGAAGTATGCATCGTAGAAGCTTGAGTTGAAACTCGCACACCACGACATTCCAAATTCCGCCTCGTTGTGACCATCTGGGAAGAAAAATTGAAAACTTTGAGAGGACGACGAGGATCTTACAGTAGCAAGCTGGATCGAGAATGACAGGCTTGCCATCCTTGTCGTAAGCCATGTTGCCACTCCAGAGATCTCCGTGAAGCAAGCACGGTTGCACGTCCTTCAAGTCTCTGAGAAGATATGGGATCTTCTCCAGCAGTTTTTTGCCTGGAAGACAAAATGGCGCTTCAGCACTCTACTTCACGTGGAAGAACCTTTCTCGTAGATTTGCTGGTCGCTGTAATTCGTGAAGAGTAGTTCCAGCTGGTGACCAATGCGGTGATCACGGAAGAACGTGATCCAGTCGGGTGTCCATGGATTCGGCTGCGGTGTGCTGATCACAGCAAAAACACAATGACAAAACACGAACTCCAAAAGAACTTGCCTGCCAATGGTGTTATCCATCTCAAATCCAAATCCTCTGTCGGAAATCCCAGCCTTGTGCATTTTCCCAAGCATCCTCCCCAGCTCCCTCTGGAAAACTGAAAGTGTTTAAACAAAACAACTCTTCATCACCATGCACTGCTTTCTCACCTGGCCATGAAGTGTCGATCCGCCAAACTCGATGTATTCCATGATGATGAAAGAGCCTCCTCGGGGCAAACTCCCTGCCTAGAAAAGAAAAAAAAAAGGTAGAAGCAAAGAAACAAGACAACTCTATGAAACAAAGTTGGAGAAAGAAGAAAGAAAATGTGAGACCTTTAGAGGCTTTGGCACGCGTACAGTGTTCGTCCGGTACATGGCATCCAGGCCAGCGGCCTCGGCCTCAAACATGGAAGAATCGATTCCTCTGTAGAAACAATCCATCCATCCATCCCGGTAAGAAACCATAGCTCTCAAGAGAAAAGAAAATAAGAGAATTCCTTGCCTGTTCGTTTTCACGAAGAAAGAGCCAGCGTCCGTGTCGTAGCGATTGGCAGCATTGATGCATCCGCCTCCCACAGGCGTAATCCTGGTGATCTTGGTAGCGCCGCCATCTCCAAGGATCCAATGCCGGATGGGATCGCCATCGCCATCGCCGCCGCTAGCCACTGGGATCACCAATCAAGAGAGTGATTGACACCACCCAAATCGCAACGACTCACTGCTAGCAGAGGCCAAATGCCGCTGGGACGTCGATCTGGGCGCTGCGAATGGCGATGGCGATGGCGAGGGCGAGAAGAACCTCACACCACATGAAAATGCCATGAAACTTAGGGCATTCCCATCCGGCCCGGATGACGATCGGCTATGATCCAGCGCGAATGGGCAAGCAACGCCGCAAGATCGAGACTGGCAGCTCCTTCCGTGGATCGGCTCGGCGAGGAGATCCGCCGCTGCGCCAGATCCAAGGCCCTAGCCGATGGCAAGCAAATCCACGCCGAGCTCGGCAAGCTGGGGCTGGATGGATCAACGTTTCTGGGGAATCTCCTCGTCCAGATGTATGGCAGCTGCCGCGATATCGAGGGTGCCGCGAGGGCTTTTTCCAGGATCAAGGAGCGCAACGTCTTCTCCTGGAACATCATGAGTGCGGCATTTGCCCAGAACGGGCATTTTGGTGACGCGAAGAAAATCTTTGAGCGGATGCCTGAGAGAGACTCGGTCTCCTGGAATCTGATGATCACAAGCTTCGCGCAGAAGGGATGGGTACGCGAGGCCAGAGAGGTCTTCGATCAAACCCCGGATCACGACACCGTGACATGGAACGCGATGATCGCAGCGTATGCCCAGAACGGGTATTCCCAGCAGGCGATCAATCTCTTTCGACTGATGCAAATTGAGGGCGTCGCGGCGGATCGCATTACATTCACGACCGCGATCGAAGCGTGTGCTGGCTGCCTCGCGTGGGCGTCCCTCGGCCGGATCATCCACGCGGAGGTTGCGAGCAGTGGCGTCTTGCTGGATCGCAAGGTCCACAACAGCTTGATCAATCTCTACGGCAAGGCCGGGCAGGCGATCGAGGCGGCCAGCGTCTTCCACTCCATGGCCGGGAGGGACGTGATCAGCTGGACCGCGCTGATGATGAGCTTCTCACAGCACGGCCATCTCTCGCAGGCGAGCAGCGTCTTTGATCGGATGCCGCAGCACGACAACCTCGCCTGGAACGCGCTCATCATCGACTTTGCCCGGATCGGTGACCTCTCCTCCGCGATGCGTCTCTACAATCTCCTCCCGGAGGAGAGCCCCGTCTCCTCAACCACGATGATCGCAGCGTTCGCCCAGAACGGGCACTTGCAAGGCGCAAGAGACGTCTTCCACGCGCTGGCCGACCCGGACGTGGTGGCCTGGAACGCGATCATCGCGGCGGCGGTCCAGCACTCGAGCTTCCGCGAGGCGCTGGAGCTCTTCCGGGCGATGGTGGCGAGCGGCGCGTCCCCGAATCGCATCACCTTCATCAGCAGCCTCCACGCGTGCGCGCGCGAGGCCGTGCTGGACGCGGGCAAGGCCATCCACGAGGAGATCTCCATCCGTGGCCTCGCCGCCGATGCCACGCTCGCCGCGATGCTCATCAACGTCTACGGCCGCTGTGGCCATGTCGCCACCGCGCGCAAGCTTTTCGACGATCTCCCGGAGCTGTGCGTGCTGCTGTGGAACACGATGCTCGCGGCGTACGCGCACGCCGGCCACTCCGCCGCCGCATTGGAGCTCTTCCAAGACATGAACCTGGCGGGCTTCCACGCCGATCCCGTGAGCTTTACCGTGCTTCTCTCGGCGTGCAGCCACGCGGGGGAGCTCCGCGACGCTCTCCGCTGCTTCGCAACCATGGTGGGCGATCACGGCATCGTCCCTGAGAGGGATCACTTCGGCTGCGTTGTGGATCTCATGGGGAGAACCGGGCAGCTGGAAAAGGCCGAGGATCTCGTCGCCAACATGCCGTTTGAGCCCGACTTTGTGAGCTTGACGAGCTTGGTGGGCGCTTGCCGGGTTCACCGAGATCCAAGGAGGGGTCGCAGGATCTCGGAGTTGGCGCTCGCGTCGTCGCCCAAGAGATCGTCCGCGTATGCCCTCCTCTCCAGCCTCTTCGCCCAGGATCACGAGGTGGACGAGTCGAAGTCCTTGCTGCTAGTGGAGGAGACGATAGATCATTCGTTCTTCGAATACAAGCAAGTTCTTATAGCGAACTAAAGAAGAAGCTCATGTTATCACCAATGCGATTGATACCAAAACATTGTAGAAGAGTTTGCTCTTGTGAAGATCAAGCACATCAACGCAAGAGAAAAGGCAAAACACCGAAAACTTCGGAAGTTACTTCTTTTGGGCGGGAACGCGCAACTCTCTTCTCGGTCAGCGTTTCACCGAGATCAACGTTCAATTCAAACAGGAATTAGGGTTCCTGGGAGAGTGGTCAATGCTGTAGAGGAGAGGAAGAATGGCGGGCGATGGCGTAGACGACATGGGCGCCAGGGGGATGGGGCGGCGGGGCATCCTCGCCGCTCTCTCCTACATGGCTTGCGCAGGTACGCCGATCGATGGATGAATGGACCGATCGATTCATCCTGTAGGTCAGGAGAGCTGATCTCTTTGTTTTTTTTCTCATCTCTTGCAGTTTTGCTCGTCATGTTTAACAAGGCTGCGCTCTCAACTTACAGCTTTCCCTGTGCTAACGTGATCACACTTCTTCAGGTACTTCGGTTTGTTTTTTTCCTGTTTCTTCCTTTTCACATTTTTCGCAAAGATCATCTGCTCGATCTGCCTACTTTACACTCTGCGATACTGGAACTGGATCACGTTTGAGAATGAGCCACTGGAAATTATTCTCGGGAAGGAAGGGTCGACCAGCAAGAGGCTTTTGGTTCCCATGAGAACTTTCAAGCGGACTCTACCACTGTCATTCTCGTATCTAATGTACATGGTGAGTGAGCTCGACTTTGTCAATCTCTTCTCAGTTTTCGCGCATGAACAGGTGATTGGAATGGCGTCACTCAGAGGAGTGAGCGTGCCAATGTACACAACGCTCCGGCGAACGACAGTCTTGTTCACAATGGCAATGGAGTACGCCATCATGGGACAGAGGCATTCGAGAGAAGTGATTTGCAGGTTTGTCTCTAAGATCTCGCAAGATAGAGAAAGGAAAAACTTTAAGAACTTTTGCCTCTTTCTTTTTGCAGCGTGGGAGTTATAGTCTTTGGAGCGTTTCTAGCTGGAGCCAGAGACTTCTCCTTTGATACCGCCGGCTATTCTTTGGTTGTCATCTCCAACGTAACAACGGCAATCTACCTAGCGGTGATTGCTCGCCTCGGTATGTTTGCGACTTTTTCTCCCGTTTTATGCTCATTGTCATACGATCAATCACTTTGCAGGGAAGGTCACAGGACTAAACAGCTTTGGCCTCATGTGGTGTAATAGTAAGCTCATGGTTTTCCGTAAAGCTCTGTGTTTCTTTACACTTTTATTCTGAGCAGGCTTAGTTTGTTTACCAATACTGCTAGTCTGGACATGGCTGACGGGAGAGCTTCACTCAGCAACAGATTTTCCAGCTTTATACGAGCACGGATTCCAGGTTGGAGTTTCATCACTCGGTTTAAGCTGCTTGCTGATTAGCTTTTGGTTTCCTCTCTCTCAGGCTGTGCTAGTTTTATCATGTATTCTAGCCTTCATTTTTAACTACACAATTTTCCTCAACACGTCTCTAAACTCGCCATTGACGCAAACAATGTGCGGAAACATCAAGGTTCGTTTGCTACACATCTGTTGCTTGGCAAACTTTCAAAGTTCTTTTTTGGTTTTTGATTTCGTCTGGCAGGACCTCGGCACTATTTTTCTGGGATGGCTGCTTTTTGGAGGCCTGCCGTTTGACTGGGTGAGGCCAAGTTTTTGTGCTCCTTTTTGTTCTCACTCGAAAATCTGTGTGGCTTTGTGCCAACAGCTAAACGTTTTGGGCCAAGCTCTGGGATTTTTGGGTTCTGGATTCTACGCTTACTGCAAGCTGCATGGAAAGTAAGCAAGGCAAGAAGATCTTTCTTTCTTCGTTGTGTATACAGGCGAGATTCAGAGTTTCGCAATGGGGGACAAAGAAGCCCTTTTGTGAGAGCGTTTGACAATCGACTTTACATTATATAGAGTCTGACACAAATCCAAGCTCCAATTTTTTTTTTCAGCTTGTTGAGGAAAAACATGATTTTGTTTTGGGTCATGCAAAGGTCATTTTCTTTCTAGATTTTATGTTTCAGGGCGGGAGCGATGCACGAAGACAGCGAGAGAACAGCGAGAGCTCTGGATGCCATGGCAGCGATTGGGCTGCCCAGAAAATTTGTTCTCGGGGTTCTCACCGAGGCGCTCAAGGTCTCTAAAGAACCACTTTTTTTTTTTGTGTGTGTGTGTATTTTGCTCCTGATCGATCGTCGGCTTGCAGGTTTACAATGGATGGGCATTCCTGGAGCAAAACCATTTCGAAGTTCTGGCCGAGCTTTGCCTCGACCAGATGGTATTTCCCATTCGTTTCTTCGTTTCTTCTCTTTGGTTTCGCTTCCATGCTCATAGCCGATGTTGCGCAGCAGGAAGCGGACACATTGGCGATCGAAAGCGGTACTTCCATGAAGAGCTCCTCGACTGGCACTGGTAAGAAAAAAAAAATCTCTTTTCTCTCTTTTCTCGAACAAAAGCATGACTGCCAGTGGTCGACCGGGGAAAGGAAAAGAGACCGTCGCGATGTCGCGCATCGCCAGCGGCAAAGGCTGCTGGATTCAAAGCTTCCACTTCCAGTCCGGTGGAAGCTTCAAGAAAAGCTGCCGCTGGAGCCAAAGTTTCTTCCTCTCGTCTCAAACCGGTGGAAGCTCAAAAGCCTGCCGTTTCTTCCTCTCCTCTCAAACCGGTGGAAGCTCAAAAGCCTGCCGCTGCATCTAAAGAGGAGATCGCTGTTCTTGGGGGAAGCAAAGCCTTTCCTCCGGCTAATAAAAAGCCTCGAACGAATCCGGAGCGTCTCGGGATCGTCCTGGAGCCATTCATCTTCCGGGCTCCAACAAGGAAAGTCTCTCCATACGGTAAACGAAAAAAGCGTAGCTTTACGACTATACGATCTCATCCTCGGCGAGTTTTGCAGGAGATTTTCCATCCGCTGTGGCTGATCCCATCAATGGTAAGTTCGTCCCACTTTTTCTTTCGTTTCTAGTTGAAAAACGATGGTTTTTGCGCAGGAGCCGAGCATTCCAAGCAAATGGTGGTCACTGGTAAGAGCATTGATCTTCATTCTTCCACGTTTCATCTCGGAAAACGAAGCTTTTTGCGCAGGAGGCGAGCATTCCAAGCAAATGGTGGCCTTGAGCGTCCAGCCCCTCGCGGAGAACATACCCCCAGAGCAAGATCTGGCTCTGGCACCGGTTGTGAGCATGAGCGATCAAGCCAGCGAGCTCTCGGATGATCCAGAGCTTCCATCGCGTGGATTCAGCCCGGATGCTTGGGCGCTCTCCTTGATCAACAGCCAATATGGCGATGACGACTAGAGAATCTCTTGGGAGGGTCTACTTACGAACGGTTTTTGTATGTATGGATGTATATTCCTTGATAGCTAGAATAGTTCTAGAAGTCCAAGCTTTGATCAAAGCTACTTTAGCTATGATGGCTCTTTACCAATGTTTTCTAGAATCATTATCAATGTCCATCGTTTCTTCTTCCTTCAGCTTAACGGCTTGGTTTGGGCGGATTATTCCAAGCGCACTGGAGGAAATGGAGGCAATGAGACCGCCACTACTTTTTATTAAACCCCCATTAATTAACTCTTAATTAGCACACTCTTTCTTCCTGTTTTTTACCGTAGCTAAACCCTAAACCCGTTCCATCCTGGCTTTATTTGTTTAAATTAGCGTAACTCTCAAAACCCTAGCGCAAGATCGGAGAGCGATGGTGCCGCGGCGCTGTGGGGATCTACGCACTCGCAGGTAGCAGCCGCTGTGCTGCATTTCCCCGACGCGCTTGCCGCTGGCACTGGGATTTGGCAGCGAAATCAAGGCGCGCGCCACGAAATCCACCGGCATTGCTCTCCTCGGCCCCGACGCCTCCTGCTCCGCCGCTCCAGGGAACACCGCCAGCACCGGGGGAGCGGCATTTCGCCCGGATTCGACAATGCCGGGGGTGTACACCGCGGATCTAGCACTGACGGGGTAAGGAGTGCTTCTAGGGAAAATATTTCGGCACGGGCATTGGTTCTTGGCGCGGGGCAAGGGAAATATTTCGCGAGATTTCGTCCGTCCACACCGGGAAGGCCATGGCTGGCAGCAACAGCGGCAACTACAGCATCCCGACCACGAGCTTCCCCTCGCATCAGCTCAGCAATGGGCTCTACGTCTCCGGGCGGCCGGATCCGTACAAGGAGAGGCTGCCAACGATGAGCTCCACAGCGATGCCATACACAGGTGGTGACATAAAGAAGTCTGGCGAGCTGGGCAAGATGTTTGACATACCCGTAGAGGCTCCCAAGACAAAGAAGTCGGGTCCAATTGGGAGTGGAGTTGGGAATCCACAGGCAAAGCAGCAGCAGCAGCAGCAGCAACACCAAGTGGGTTCCGCGGTGCTGTCGCGCTCACACTCCGGACCACTCCCATCTGGAGCGCCTCGGACGGCTTTCCCCACCTCGGGCCCGATGAGCGCTAGCAAGTCCTACTCCCAAAGATCCAACTCGGGGCCCCTCTCCGGGGCGGGGTTTGCGAGCTCTGGCTCCAAGTCGGGGCCGCTCACGGGACCACACGGCGCTGGTGGTGGCTTGAAGACGTCAGGGCCTTTGTCAGGCGGGACAACGCCCAACGTTCTGAAGACTTCCGGCCCACTTACGCCTAATCTCCCTGCCACCGGACTCATCACCTCTGGGCCGCTCTCCTCCACCGGGGCTCCGCGCAAGGGGCTGTCCGGCTCCATGGAGCTGGGGGCGTCCGGGAGGTTCCCCAGGGCGTCGTCCATGCACGGCCAGGCGGTGACCAACATGAGCAACGAGCAGAGCTACTCGCTCCGGAGCAACTTCCCGAAGGTGATACTGTGGACGGTCATCCCGCTCTTCATCATGGGGTTCATCGCGGGCGGCTTCATTCTCGTGGCGGTCCAGAACGCCATCCTGCTCATCGTGGTCGGGTCACTCTTTGTGGCCCTCATGGTTCTGCTCATCTGGAACACTTGCTGGGGAAAGAAGTCGGTGCTCGGCTTTATTGCCAACTTCCCAGACGCTCAGCTCGGCAATGCGAAGGACGGGCAGTACGTGAAAATCACCGGGGTAACTCTGCTAAACTTTGTTCTTTCTTTTCTTTCATTTTCTTCTTCTGATGGTTTTCTTTTGTCCCTTTTGTAGGTTGTGACTTGTGGCAGTGTTCCTTTAGAGTCATCCTACCAGAAAGTAAATCGCTGTATATACACGTCAACGGGTCTTCATGAATTCAGAGGCGTCGATTCAAAGCCGGTCAACGACAAGCAGAGGAGGTTTACCTGGGCTCTCCGACACATGGACGTGAGTTTTCCTCTTCCATTCCCAGAGATTCCTGCTTATGAACTTCCCTGTTTGCGCAGAGGCATGTGGTGGACTTTTACATCTCAGACTTTCAATCGGGCTTGAGAGCTCTGGTAAAAGCCGGCTATGGTGCCAACATCACACCGTATGTCGAGGAGAGCCCCGTGGTGGAGGTCGCCCCCGCTACCAAGGACCTGCCAAAGGATTTCGTTCGCTGGCTATCGGAGAGGAACCTCTCCCGGGAGGACAGGATAATGCGGCTCACCGAGGGGTAACAAGTCGGCTCGCTTTGGTCTTTCCTTGGGCTGATGGAATCGTTTGTTCCTGCGCAGGTATATCAAAGAGGGCAGCACCGTCACAGTGTTGGGGGTTGTCCAGAGGCACGAAAACGTCCTGATGATCGTCGCTCCTCCCGAGCCCGTGTCCACTGGCTGCCAATGGCGTAAGTTCCTCCTCCCGGCCAACTTGGACGGCCTCATTATCAGATGCGACGAAGTGTCCAGGGTGGACGGGATACCTCTGTGAAGAAATGCGATCGCAGGAGATGGAGGAGAGTGAGAGGGAGAGAGAGACAGAGAGGGGGGAGAAAGTTTCCAGCCGAATTTCTCGTGTTCTCGAGGACGCTGCTCGCAACAACGAAGAACTAAAGATTGGAAGAAAACGAGGAGCTGCTGAAAGCTTTGCTGCTTTCAATAACTAAATAGTGAGTTTGATTTCCTTGTGAAAGTCGATATGTCACCCTTTGTACCGAGTACTATGAATCAAAGTATATAGAAGGAAAAAATCAAAATTGTATACTCTGGATCTTAGGTAGGCTGGAAGTTTCTCCAGGCAAAAAAAATTTAGATCTTGATGGATCTCTCACTATGAAAGAATGGATATCTCAATCCAGTATCGAAACTGTGTCGAGGACAAAAAGCTTGAGGAGGATGATGTAAACGAGTGGGGAGATCTTCCCCGCGGCCACCATGGCCTTGATCGCTACCGCGAGATCCCACTGCTCGATCGAGAGCCTCTCCATGCAGACCCTCTCGATTGCCTCGAACAGTTCGCGTGATTCGTCGTCACCTTGGATGGAAGAGAGCCACTGCCACTCCGCGCCCTGCTGATCGAGCGAGACCACCATGCTGGCGATGCTGGGCAGCAAGAACTCGCGCCGGAGTGCCATTTGCTCCAGGTGAAGGAGCGCGTGGTGATCGTGCTCGTGGCGGTGGCTGTGATCCGGCGAGTTGGGCGGCTTGTACACGGATCTCGCTGTTGGCGGGTAGCGCCCCATGAATCGCACCACGATCGCGCTGCCCTGTGTCATCGCCCTCTTGCAAAAGGTCGCCATGGATCTTGTGGTGAGCGCCTAAGAACTAGATGAATTGATTACTCGATGGAGCGATGGATCACCAGCACGCGATCGATCACATTTTGATGAGAGCACTGATCGATCGCGCACTTCTAGTCCAGGGCCGCAGCACGCGACTTCACCGGTGGAGCGACTTTTCCGCGTGGTCAATGGTCAAGGAGACGGCCACGTTGACCAGTTCAGGGTTCTTGCTAGCGAGATTGCTAGGTCGCCGGCCAATGCTGCTAGGCGCGGGGCTTCCGCCGCTGCCTGTTCTCCATCGTCCTTGCGCGGCAGCCGCGGGATGGACGAGAAATCTTCCTTTCCAGGGAATGCGAATGCGAGTGGCGGCTTCTTCGTCGCCCTTCGATGGCGACGACGCGAGGTAACGAGAAATTGTTGCGCGGCGGTTCTCGCTCATTGATTGATCTCGGCAGCGTCCGGAGGAATGATGCTGCTGCCACCGGGCCTGGCGCAAAACCGCTGCCACAGGTAAATATCTCGAGAGTGGTTTTGTGATTGTCCTCAAAACTCACACGAATCCTTTCCAGCTTAATGCCGAGGAGGCTGTGCGGATCCAACTGGATGCATTGCTGGAGAACAATAATCCTCGCCAAGATCACGGGCTGGAGGTCAGAGTTACCTCTTTTCATCTTGTTTTCTTTGGCAAACGCGCATGGAGTGGAGTTTCTAAAGAACGCTCTCGCAGGTGATGTACTTGTTTGCAAATGCTGAAGGAGATTTTGATGGTAGCCTTCCTTGCTACTTTGGATCCGCGGCTGACCTCTACCACTTTGGCCATTTCGCGCTCAAGTTCAAGACAAGGTGAGTTTACGCGAATGCTAGCGTTGTCTCTGGTTTCTAAAAGGCTCTAGGCAGGCAGATTTCCGGAGCTCCTCAAGATGGAAAGCTACGAAATCGTGAATGCCAGCGACGGCAAAGTTGTGGCGAGCGTGAGGCATGGCAAAAGGCTGACTAAGTGGCTGTTCAGGATGTCCAAGGTCACGAGGGGTGAAATCAGCTACTGGCTGACAGATGGTCTTGTCCAACTTACAGAACCACAACAGTAATCAAACCAGGTTCGTCTTGTCATTCTCCTGATCTGCTTTGTCTAGAATGATTCCAAAGACGCAAAATATCGTTTTCTACACTGTCAATTTCCCTTCAGATTTGAGATTCTAAATCGCTGATTTTCTTTGCGTTTTCTTTCTTCGTTAGTGCTAAGCTGAAGCGACGTTGGGACATAAAAGTCCAAGCATTATTTCGATCGCTCTTTCTCGCAGGTAAGGTTTTGGTTTGCCTCACAGCCTGTGTGTGTGGCTGCCAATCCAATCCTTTTAACGGCCAGATATTAACCTTTGGTGGAGCTTCTTGGAAGTTTGCTGCGGGGTAGCTAAATAGTCTCGATTTGACGAGCGAAGCCTGACAAAGGAGGAAGAATGTTACCTGGTGTCGAGCTTGCGCGTCGAAGGCGGACGAGCAACTATTCGTGCGTGAGCTCGGAGAGATCCAGTCGCTCGACTTCCAACATAGTGGCGACGAGGGACAAGCAGCAGCAGCGGCAGCAGCAGAAGATTGGAGTCCCCCGCACGTCCTCCGAGGTACAAAATCTTGTTTTGAAATCGTTCTCCTGACACTCTTCCAAATCATAGATTGAAGAAGCAGCTGCTAACGCTCTAGCAACACTGCAAGCGCGATATCGTTTCCACCCAAGAGACGAGACATCCAGAACCGCAGCAAACGAAGCTCGGGAGAGGTTGGAAGCCAGGCTCCGAGCACCGGAGTTGAGGTAAGTTGTTTTTCTCTCGTTTCCTCTCACAAGCTCGAGCGAATGCGCAGAATAACTCGGCATGGATCCAACACGGTTCCTACTCCAACACCAACAAAAAAGAAATTTGGCAGTGGCAAGCTCCAAATTCTCTCGCACAAGGATGAGAGGCCGGATTGCCCGATTTGCCTGGAAGAAATTGGGCGGACGAGCCTGCTACTGCCGTGTAGACACGGATTCCACAAGGAATGCATAAAGCCGTGGATCGAGCGAAGTAATCACTGTCCTTGTTGCCGCGCGAGTGTTGTGTGAGATATTCGAGGAAGGAGAGAAAAAAAAAATTGGTAAAACGTCGTACTTTAGGTCAACATGTCCACATGCCTTGTTGGAGGGAATATAAATTAAGTCCCAGGCTGATGGCCGCGGCTTACTTACGCTCCTCACGGAGCAACAGACAAGAGTTTTCAACACCAAACCGTGTGAGGAATATTCTCAAGCAGAATCAGATTATTCTACTTTAAGATAAAACATTCGTTAATGGTTTCATGGTGTAGTTGGTCATCACGTCAGTCTAACACACTGAAGGTCTCCAGTTCAAACCTGGATGAAGCCAGCTGAATTTTCTTGAGTACGCGTGTTGCACAGGTCAGCCGATTAATTTCAATTTTAGGCATCTCTCTCAATCCGTGGAGTGATTAAGGGATAATGCATCGCCAATTGAAAAGCCCTAACCCTAAGCTTGCTTCTTTCAGTCGTATTACTCTAATTAAATGCCCAAATTAAGTGCCCAATTTAGGTTATGTGTTTTCTTTGAGATCAAAAATTTTATAACCCAATTTTTTAAATAATGTCATTAACTAAAGTAAAATGTAGATAATCGAGTAATTAACTTATAAACATAGAGAACAAGGAGCTGGTACCTCCCACAAGGGTGCCTCTTTGCATAGATTGTGAGGGATAGAAGCAGAGCAAGATTTGAATAGATCAAGCACAAAGTTGATGGAAATAAATCATATAGCAATTTGAAACAAATCAGCACGATTAAAAGTTATTTGAACTTTTTAATTCAATTTATGACTTTTTTTTGTGTTATGTTAACATTATTTCTTCACAATAAACTTTTTCACTCAAATCCAGAACTCAATACTTATTTGTGCTGAAAGAAAGAAGATTGAGGAGGCAAAGTATATGTTTGAGATCGAGAGAAACATTAGGGTGTTGAATGCAATGCGAGGTATGAGATTGCCCTAATTTCAAACTTTTGAATTTCGCGCTTTGTCGCGATTATGGTGATCAAAGTTTCGCGGATGCCAATGGCCAACAACGAGGGTCATATCATCGCAAACTGGCCGTCCAATGCCATTGATCACAGAACGCAGCAGCCGGTGGTACGATCGATCTTTTACAAATCGCTTGTTCATAAAGATCAAAACTCTTTTTCTGGATTGTAGGGAATGCCGATGATCGTTTTACGAGACGAAGAGAGCGAAGGCAATGGCGTAGAGCCTTCGACCACATCGGACGGAGACAAGTTTCACAGTCTTGGAGATCCCAGAGGTGATTGTTGCCGTGCAGCAACTGGACGGAGAAAAGGCAAGATTTGTCAGTCTTTCTCTCGAGACATTATTTCGATCGCCCTCTTTCTCCCATGTAAGGTTTTGGTTTCCCTCACAGCCTGTGTGTGTGGCTGCCAATCCAATCTTTTAACGGCCAGGTATTACCCTTTGGGTGGAGCTTCTTGGAAGTTTGCGGCGGGTAGCTAAATAGTTTCGTTTTGACGACGGAGCCTGACAAAGGAGGAAGAATGTTACCTGGTGTCGAGCTTGCGCGTCGAAGGCGGACGAGCAACCATTCGTGCGTGAGCTCGGACAGATCCAGTCGCTCAACTTCCAACTTAGTGGCGCCGAGGGACAAGCAGCCGCAGAAGATTGGAGTCCCCCGCTCGTCCTCCGAGGTACAGAATTTTGTTTTGAAACCGTTCTCTTGACACTCTTCCCAATCATGGAAGCCAGGCTCCGAGCATCGGAGTTGAGGTAAGTAGCCATAGCTTGTTTTTCTCTCGTTTCCTCTCACAAGCTCGATCAGAATAAATCGGCATGGATCCAACATGGTTCTGACTCCAACACCACCAGAAAAGAAATTTGGCTCCAAATTCTCTCGCACAAGGATGAGAGCCCGGATTGCCCGATTTGCCTGGAAGAAATTGAGCGGACGAGCCTGCTACTGCCATGTAGACACGGATTCCACAAGGAATGCATGGAGCCGTGGATCGAGCGAAGTAAGCACTGTCCTTGTTGCCGCGCGAGTGTTGTGTGAGATATTCGAGGAAGGAGAGAAAAAAAAAAAAATGGTAAAACGTCGTAGTTTAGGTCAACATGCCACATTGGAAGGATGAATATAAATTAAGTCCCAGGGCTAATGTGTAATGTAAGTGGCTGATGGTCGCGGCTTACTTACACTCCTCACGGGATATAAATTGGTTGGATGGGGGACATATTTTTTGCTGTAGTATGAATTGCTTTTTTTGATCATGTGGGAGATATTAATCATTTAAATGTATGTTGCAAAGATTTGGAGACGAGAAGCTCTAGTTGCAATTGTCAGGCCGGGTGGTAAACCGTGTTTAAAGCCTAGCAGATTATCCTAGTTTAGGATAAAACTTTTGTTATGGTTTCATGGTGTAGTTGGTTATCACGTCCACTGAAGGTCTCCAGTTCGAACCTGGATGAAGCCAATTAAACGTTTTAGCCCTTAGCGGCTTTTAGGGCTGACATGGACTCCCGGCAGTTAACTGTTAGATGAAGGATCAGTTCAATGCAGAGGGGAGAGAAGGGGAAAGGATCGTCTCTTTGTCTCCTCCGCCATCTCTTTCGATCCATGGAGGAGTGATTGGAATTTGGAAGGGATAATGCGGAGGAGGAGGAGGAGCTCTCGATTGAATCCGGGAGCACAGTCGTCTAGATCATGATCCAGGCCAGGTCTCGCGGCCTTCTTTCACTCGTAGAGCTCAGACATCCATGATAGATGCCTCCGTCTCTATGGATCGGCAGCGCTCGGCGGAGATGGGCGAGCTTTTGGAACCGGATGGTACCATGGGATCTGGATCATCACATCTTGGGCAACGATCACTTGAATCCGCCGCCGCCGCCACATATGATCATCCCCACCTCCAACAATAACCAGCACCATGTCGTCCTCAAGCACAAGTACGTTGTGGCGCTCTTTCTCTTCCTTGTTTGTGTAGACCTGGTGAGTTCTTGCGAAAGTTTAAGCCACAGTTGTTCTGATGATCGATCGATTGATTCGGTCTTGGCAGATTGAGATTGTGGGAGTTTTGTGCTACCAGCTTTTCACGGCCAGCTATTTCCCATGGCACTTGTATCCCATGATGCTCAACCGGGCGATGGAGATAATCGCGCTCATTTGCTCGCGGGGATACATCCCATCTCTGGTAAGATTTACAAATCGCTATACGATTCATATCCATCAACGTTGAATAGCCTTTGCTTGATCTATTGATCAGTACTCCGCTGCTCAAATCTTGCTCTCGCTTCTATCCCTCGCGGTCTACGCAAAGAGGCAGCCTTGCGGGAGGTACCACTGCGCCGTGCCCCTTGTTCTCTACAGCATCCTCTTGTCGTACGAGGTACGGGATTACCCTAATTTCAAACTTTTGAATTTATCTCCTTTCGCAGACCTTTGTCGCGGTTATGGTGATCAAAGTCTCACGGATGCCAATGGCCAACGACGAAGGCCATATCATCGCAAACTGGCCGAGTTTTCAGGTGTCCCCGCTCTCCAATGCCATTGATCAGAGGACACAGCAGCCGGTGGTACGATTGATTCTTCCACGAATTATTTGCTCATCGATCGAGAAGAAACTATTCTGGATTGCAGGGAATGCCGATGATAGTTTTACGAGACCGAGAGAGCGAGGGCAATGGCGTGGAGCCTTCGACCACATCGGACGGAGACAAGTTTCACAGTTTTGGAGATCCCAGAGAGGTGATTGTTGCTGTGCAGCAACCGGACGGAGAGAAGGTAAGATTTCTCACGATGTTTCTCTCGACATAAGCTCTGTTTTATTGTTTTTCTTCAGTTGGCAATTGCAAAGATCTGCGACGAGCAATTTCGCGAGCAGCCCACGCCTGCTGCCACGACTCCATCACTGCAGCCGCACGAATTCGATCGTGATCAGGCAGCCACCTCCACCGCTGACGAGGAAACCATCCAAATCTGCCATGAGTGAAGAGGTGTGGATACTCCTCTTTGCTGGATATCTACTGCTAGTGAGAAAACAAAAAGGGCCCAATCTCCAGGGGCTGAGAGGGAAAGATGAGTGAACGAGTGTTCATTGTGTATTGATATGAAAACAATGAATGGAAATGGGGATCCACAACTCAGATTCCCCCCCTTAAAAGGCAGGCGGTTCTAACTGCTAGCATATGCTAACAAATGGTATATGCTGTGCATGATCAAATCTATGGCTCCAATGCAGCCCTGGGTTCAGGGCTGGAGTCCCTGAGCTTAGGTTTTTGACCTCTGGGACATCAGAAAGATCGTCTCCAAGTAGCCATCAACCCCATCAGCAGCTCACGAACACACCTACAAGTTGAAGTACAACAAGCGCAACATCCGCTATTGGAAGCTCAAGAATGATCATACTGCCCTCCTGGCCAAGGTAGCCGAGCTCCAGGACAATGGGGCAGATCCACTAGACAGTGTCCCCAACCACGAGCTCACAGTCCCGCAGCAAAAGTGTTGCCTCTATCAACTCGAGCATGCAGATCTGCTTCATCTCCTCAAGCTGAGTGTTGAGCCAGTGGTTGAAGGGCTCATAGAACTCCTTCTTGATGGGAGGTTCACTTGGTCGTGGACAACTGAAATAGTGAAGAGGTGTGGATATTATCTAGGATGATGGGGCAGATCCACTAGACAGTGTCCCCAACCACGAGCTCACACTCCCACAGCAGAAGCGCCTCTATCAACTTGAGCAGCAGCAACAACAAACGATAGAGATTAACTACACTCACATTGAGGACTCAATCAGAGGAACAAAGTGTATCAACCAAAAACCTAATTGAAGCCAACAGCATATACCAATTGTTAGCATATGCTGGCAGTTAGAACTGCCTGCCTTTTAAGGGGGGGGAATTTGAGTTGTGAATCCCCATCTCCATTCATTTTTTCATAGTAATACACAACACTCATTCACTCATCTTTCCCTCTCAGCCCCTGGAGATTGGGCCCTTTCCCCGTTTGTTTTCTCACTAGCAGTAGATATCCAGCGAAGAAGAGTATCCACACCTCTTCAATGAGCTCGCATATAACAAGGAGCAGCTCCACCAGCTTCCTGGGATCCCTCTCTCGAGCAACAGCCTGCTCGAGATGATGAGAATGGAGGACGCGCTCCACCACCAACACCACGAAGATCGCCAAGATCTCGAATCCAGCACTGCTAGCAGACTCTCATAGAGTCGATTGTGACTCGACACACTGATTTTTATGATAACCCGCATGAATTCTCTAATCTCTGTCCAGTTGATCAATTTGCTCTGCCGGTTATTGAGAAGAAAAAAAAAAGAGGTTACAGAAACTACTCTTTTCTCTGCGAATTCGAAAACCATGTACAAATCTGCGAGTGATCAACGGCTTTGGAATCTGGATGGAGATCAAACCCCTCCTCCCTCTTTGATATCCTCGAGCCTCTGGCACACATCTCTCATGCACGGCCTCCTCACTGGAACGTCTTGCGTGCAATCCAGCGCCAGCCTCAAGAACTTGGCGAGACCATCGTGAGACCCCGCCGTCCTGGCCACGAGCGGATCAAGCAGCCGCGACAGCTGATCCCGCCGGTAACACTCCACCGCCCACTCCACCAAGTTGCTATAACACTGATCCTCAAACTCCTCCACATTGTGATGAAGATCGCGACCACTGTCCTCCCCGGCCATGATATAGTTCCCAGCGTCCAGCATTGGCCTCCGCCCGGACAAGAGCTCCAGGAGGACGACGCCGTAGCTATACACGTCGCCCTTGACAGTAGCCCGCCACGTCTGGCAGTACTCTGGCGGGACATACCCCAGCGTCCCGGCCACGATGGTGCTGACGTGGGTCTCCTCCTGCCCGGCCAAAGCCCTGGCCAGGCCAAAGTCCGTGACACGTGGCCGAAACCCCGCGTCAAGTAGAATATTACTAGCCTTCATGTCGCGGTGGATGATTGGCGGGGAGCAGCTGTGGTGCAAGAACTTGAGACCCCGTGCCGTACCAATCGCCACGTCGAGCCGGGCCGGCCAATCCAGGCCGCCCGCGCCGCCAGCGTGGCGGCGGCAGCCGTACAGCCAGTCCTCCACGCTGCCGTTGACCATGAGCTCGTACACGAGCAGCATCTGAGCGCCGTACGAGGAATATCCCATGAGCGGGACGAGATTCTCGTGGACGATGTGGCCCAGGGTGTGCATCTCGGCCTGGAATTCCCGCTCGCCGGCTGGCCCTTCCCGGATGAGCTTCTTGATCGCCACCGTCGATCCGTCGGAAAGCTGGGCCTTGTACACCACGCCAAAGCCGCCACACCCCACGATGTTGGAGTCGTGGAAGTTGCCCGTGGCCGCCACCAGATCCTTGTACGTGAGCTGCTTGGGGAGATCCATGGTGAAGAGCGACACGGCGTCCATGGCGGCCGAGTGATCGAAGCGCGCCGACGAGGATTTCATCATCTTGAAGCCCTGCGAATCGAGCGCCGCCGATCCTCCGCCTCCTCCTCCTCCTCCGCCGCCGCCGCCGCCGCTGTCTCTCCGGGTCATCCAGCAGATCGCCGCCAGGCCCATGGCGATCACGCCCAGCGCGCACGCCAGGCTGATACCCAGGATGGTGGAGGCGTGCATTGGCGCGGGGACACCGCGCGAGGACGACGAGCTAGGGTTCCTGGGAGATCCGTTGCAGAAGGGGATGGCGGTGCTGGGATCGCTGGTGCCGGTGAGCGCTGGGACGTAGCACAGCTGGGAATCACCGATGAAGGAGTCTTGATCGAACGTGGCGAGCTGCCCGGCGAAGGGGATCGGCCCCGCGAGGCCGGGGTTGTAGGAGACATTGAATTTGTTGAGCGAGGTGAGGCGCGTGAGCGAGTAGGGGATCTGGCCGCTCAGCCGGTTGCTGGACAGATCGAGGCTCTGGAGGCACTGGAACTGGCCGAAGCTGTCCGGGATGGCGCCCTCGAGCGCGTTGTGCGAGAGATTCAAGCCCGTGAGCTTGAGGTTGCTGAGCGATCCCGGGATGGCGCCGCTCAATCGGTTCTGGTAGAGGAAGAGGAGGCTCAGCCGATCGATGCCGCCATAGCTCGCCGGGATGCTGCCCGAGAGGCGGTTCTCCGAGAGCTGGATGTAGCCCATGGATTTCTCGGTGGGGATGGTGGAGCACACCGAGTAGATGAACTTGCCGCGCAGGAGGAGGTTCCAGAATTGCTGGCAGCGATCGCGATCCAGGACCCTGTAGACGAGGCTGAATGGGGGATAGTTGCTGGGCAGCCAGCGGCGAAGAACAGCGCACTCGCCGATCTCCTTGGGGACCTGGGGGAGATTCGCGATGTTGTCATCGAAGGTCGCCTTGGCGGCCTTGCCCATGGATTCCAGCTCGGGCGGGAGCTCGCCGGCGATGGAGTTCTTGGCAGCATTGAGCCACAGGAGGCTGGAGCAATTGCCCAGCTCGCGAGGGATCGCTCCGGAGAGGTTGTTGTTGGCGAGCATGAGCCACAGCAATCGCGTGAGCTTCCCTAGCGATGGCGGGATGGAGCCCGTGAGGCGATTCCCGGAGAGATCCAGGAACTGGAGCTGCGAGATCTCGCCCAGGCTCGGCGGGATGGATCCCGTGAGGCGATTTCCCGCCAGGAGCAAGAACTGGAGCTTCGCCAAGCTGGTGGCGTTGAATCCGCTGGGGATGACGCCGGTGATGCTGTTGTCGCTGAGATCCAGGTGGAGGAGCTGGCGATGGCTCGTGGCGATCCACTCCGGGATCCCGCCGGTGAAGCCATTGGTGTGGAGGACCAGGAACTGGAGCTTGGCGAGCTTGGCGATGGCGGCCGGGATCTCCCCCGCGAGGAGGTTCTCGTTGAGGATCAAAACCCTAAGCTCGCTGCAGTTGGCGATGGATGCCGGGAGCTCGGTGATGTTGTTCCTGCCGAGAACGAGGAAGCGCAGTGAGCGCAACAACCCTATTTCCTGAGGGATGCGCGTGAAGTGGTTCTGCGAGAGGAAGAGGCTCTCGAGATCGGCGCTGCGGAATATCTCCCGCGGGATCTCGCCGGTGAGATTGTTGAGGGAGAGATCGATGTTGCGGAGGCTGGGGACGAAGAGGCCGCCGGGGATGGATCCGACCAGGTGATTGTTGGCGAGGTTGAGGTCCGTGAGGGATGCGAGGCTGCCGCTGGCGAGCTCTGGAGGGATCTCGCCGACGAGATTGGTGTTCTCCAGGCTCAAGACCTCCAATGCCGCGCAGCCGCCCAGGGAGCTAGGGATGGATCCGTGGAACTGGTTGCCGGAGAGATCCAGGCGCTCCAGCGCCTGGCATTGCGAGAAGAGCTCCGGGGGGATTGCGCCGGTGAGATTGTTGGAGGAGATGTTGAGGAACTGGATGCCGGGCGAGAGGATTCTTGGAAGAGAGCCCGAGAGGGAATTGTTGGAGATATCTAGGGTTCTTAGCCCGCCGAGGTTGCCGATCACGTCCGGGATGCTGCCGTTGAGGGAGTTGGCAGCCAAGATCAGGGATTCCAGGTCCGCGAGGAGGCCGATGTCATCGGGGATTGGGCCCGTGAGGCGCTGGTTGGAGAGATCGATCGAGATTACGTGCTTGGCCACGCAGCTGACTCCTTGCCACTCGCAAGGGCTTCGATCGTCGGGTTTCCAGCTCTGGAGCGCGCTAGGGTTTGCTAGGAGGAGAGATCGCTTGAAGCGGAGCAAGATCGCCATCTCCTCCTCCAGGGAGATGGAATTTCCTGGGCAAGAATACGAGGTGTGTGAGCGAAGAAGATGCCATGGCTGGGCATTTTTTCCGTACCTTCGTGAGCCATCGCTAGGACAAGGATGGCGAGGAGGACGAGAGCCGCCATGGGGTAAGCCACGCTCCTCGCTTTCTTTCGATTGGAATTCGCTGCTACTTGAGTTATGATCCTGTGTGATCCATTCTCTCGATTTTCCTGTTTTTGGTGTTGATCTTGTTAGTGTAGCTTGTGATGATGGTGGATCTTCGTGAGCTCTTTGGGGTGGTACTTCGCATCTTTGATGAGTGGCTGTCTCTGCTCTTCTGTTCCAGGGAGGAAGAACGAAGGGGATTGGGGGATTGGATCAAGCAAAACGCGATCTCTTCTTCCTCGTCTTCGCAGTGCGTGCGTGACGTGAGAGCGAGACAGGGACGGAAATGAAAAGAGAACGATGGGCTTCACGAGAGATGAGCCGCAGCGCCAAAGAATCCCTTCTTTTGCTACCTGGACGCTCGCTCTCTCTCTCTCTCTCGCTCTCGCTCACTCGCGGTCGCGGCTCGAGAGCTCTTTCTTCCTCCACTCTGGCGGCCAAACCAGGTAATCTCGTTTTCGTCTTCCGTCTCACTTTGAATCACACCTCTCAGTCAAACTATGCTTGCGCCCGCAAGAGCTGATCAGAGAGCAAAGCTAGCTACAAGGAAACAAGCGGAAGGACGGGCCGGGGTTAGCTGAAGCTGGATAGAAACAACGGGAAAGACAAGGGACAACGAGCAAGAAGGCAAGTTCCTCTTTTTTATCTTTTCTTTTGCGTGGGCTTCTCTGCTTGTGTTTTTCGTTGCGCTTTTTATTCCTCTATTTGCTTTTGTTTGCACTCTTTGGTCTTGCGACTTTCGATTGAATTGTCCGCGCCAGTAGCAGCAGCAGTCGCTGCAGTATCAATCGACCGTCAAGCAGTTTTTACCGCCGTACTATGGCGACGACAGCTCAAGGTCTGCGCAGGCAAATGAATTGGAGAGACGCAATCCATGAGCATCAGCGAGGGCCAAGCGAAAAGCCAGCAACAGATATCTTATAATGTTGGTGGTGCTTGGCGAGACTGTCTCCTCTCCCCCTAAAGCTGCAAGCCAGGTCTGTGAACTTCTTTTTTCTTCTTTTATTCTTCTATTTTTCCTCTCTCTTCTCTTTTTGTTTCTTCTTTAATATCTCTGCTGCTTGGTAGGCTCGGATCCCATGGATCGAACTTGGTAGAAGACGGGAGTTCTTTGTGGATTGCTGATTTGTTTATGCCTTTCTTTGGTGGGTGCTGCAGGATCGAGGAGTCTAAAAGATGAAAGGAAAGGGAAAGGTATGAGAAGGGCCACATTAGCTACATGCGCGCACACGGTGGGTCGGACTGTTTCTCAGATCTTTGCATGGGGTGTTCTTTCTGTAAAGTGTTTGGTCAAACAGGGCAAGGACAGGACAAAGAAGAAGATCCAAAAGTTTGAAGAGACTGGAGTAAGACGAAACCCAGAGCATTCAATGAAACAAGTTGGAATGGTGAATGGTAAAGTAGGAAACACAATAGTTGAATTCCTGAAATATTCAATAAACTTCATGTTTAATATTATTATTATTTAAATTTTGATTAATGAAAATATAAATTGTAACACATTAATCTTTCATTTGAAAATGCTATTTCATTATTTATTTGAGGAAATTTTATTAAAATTGTAAGGTTATACTTTATTTCTCCCAAAGATTGCTCTATCTATTTGGACTATAGTTTTTATCTTACTTAGTTTTATAAAAAAAATTACTAAAATAATAACATTTGTTTTTATCAATTATGACTTGGGTTTCTTTAAAAAACATTTCACTATAAATATAAATGTAATTTGAGCATGAGGAGGTACATATGGATTGATTCATGCCTTGCAAAGGGTGTTTTATATCTAAAGTGGTGAATATTTCCTTTAGCAATTAGCAAATTTTTACGTTTATTTACTTATATATTTGTTCTTTGTCTATACCTCACTTTAGAAAATATGGGACATATTTCACGTGATTGCTCTTGATTCCTCCCTATAGGGCTAAATATGATGTGAGTGCTTTCAAAATTTATAGGAGAATGATACCTTTCACACTAAACAATGTTTATAAGCCCCATGTAGAAAGAAAACAAATATATTCTTGTTTATAAAAAAGCTTATTTTACCTTTATTTGAAAATACATTCATATAGTTAACTATATTTACTAATACATTTACTGAAATTAAAATATAAACACCTCAAATTTTCCATTAGCTTGTCATGCTTAACCCAAAAAATAATTCAAATATTAAACAAATGCATATATTCACAATAGCCTATATCATTATTACTGCCAAGTCATAGATTAACAGTATTGCCCACTAAATAAATTTTTTGGTTCCTTATACATAGAAATTCATGTTAAAAGGATAGTAAGAATTTTAAAATAAATATTATCACAAAAAATTATTAAAAACTTCTTTTTATCATTACAATTAACTTAAATATATAAATGCAAAAAATAAAACTCATACAATTTATTTTTATTGAATCAAATTAAATTGAGCTAGTCCTTCAAAAGTGTTTTACATTACAACACCTCCCATTGGATTTGGAATGCAAAACATCTTGCTGAGTTACTAGAAAACTCAAGTTCTTGGCACTTTCCATGAAAGCATGGGCCATGCTAACCTTTGCATTGTTATCTATGCTTAAAATTTGTGAAAGAGTTACAGAAATCACTTTTGCAGGTATGCCTATCCCACTCTGTGAGTATAAGAAGGGAAGAAAATCTCTTAAGGCTAGATCTCCATAGCCATCACCTCCATCCCAACTCCCTCCAGCTGATCCCAAGATTTCAGTAGATAGAAAGTTGTACTAGTTGGCAAATATCAGTGGCCAAAATTATTCCTGGAGCCCAAATGACATCATCCTTAGATTCAAAGCATATTATAACCTAGGATATTCCCAAGCTTATCCTAAGGATGGTAGGCCACCTTTTTGGATTAGTGGCGGGGTGTTCATTCCCAGTATCGAGCATGCAATATCACCTGCGAGACTTGTGGCGAACCTTTGAGTGTCCTACAATTTTAACAACAAGCCCCAATTCAAGTGGGCTTTGAAGTTCCAGTTAAAGCTTGGTTTATGACAGAGCTTCTATTGCATTATTAATAACAAAGTGTTGCTGCATTTTTATAACCATACTCGCAGAAAGAATGACTGAAAGGGACAGAACACAGTGCCCGGGAGAGAAAAGCTGCAATCTCTTCACAAGACGTAAACTCTTGGTTTCTCTCCAGTACTATGCTCAAAGCTCCTGCATAGAGTGGAAAGAAAGTGTTCGAAGAGATGCCTACGCACAACCTGGCGTCGTGGAAGTCGATACTAGCTGTGCAGCCGTGTAGTGTCTATCAAGCAAAGTTTCTGTTCGATGCGATGCCAGAGCAAGACGTTGTCTCCTGCAACTTATATGCTCAGCATGGCCGACTGGGCGAAGCTCAGAGCGTCCTCTTGCAGATAACTTCACAATGTTATAGTGGTCATTATAGACAAACCATCTCGTCGCGTCAGTCACACAGACCTGGTGGAGCGTGGGATCGTGTGGCTACGCGATTCGAGCCTTGTTCCTGGAGCGCCGAATATATAAACCAAAGGTAAAAACATTAAAAGATCATCCTTTGATCCTCATAACGTGAAGAGCCATCCGGGAGGTTGGAATGACAACGGGCCACTCATCCGCAATGATCTCCCTCTCGGTGTCGCTGTATGCCCGGAGCTGGAGGAGATCATGCTCGATCATCGAGTCCAGGCCAGGAACATCGGCCAGAGAGTCATACGCGATGACACCGTCGCGGGAGTCGGCCATCTTCTTCACCAAGCGAGCCCAGTCGTCTTTTTTCCACTTCGGCGGCTCTCGAACACCTACCTTACGCATCCCTTCCGGACGAAATCCCTCCATGACACGGTACGCCGCATCCATGAACAGCCGCTTCTTCTCTCGCTCCCAGCGATCCCGGAGACGCTCGCCGGTGGCCACAGCGCGGTGTGCCAGGCGCACGACTCGGTGCAAGTTGAGTATGGCGCCTCCAACGTGAGCGAACACATCATCCCACACAGCTTCGGCTTCCTTCTTGGACGATGCCGGCACGCGCTCCAGCATAAACGCCTTGGCTTCTTCTTCAGCCAGGTGGCCGACGCTGAAGACGCTGACGCCGTGGCCTTGGAATGCAGCCGAGGAGAGCAGCCATCTCCTGAAGAAGCTCTCAGACGAGGCCAGCACAATGTGCGCTCCACACTCCTGCTTGGAGATGCGCACAAGGAAGCGGAAGAGCGCCTCCAGCTGGGCTTCTCCATCGGGCAGTGAGTGCCATGCCGCTAACGCATTCGCCTCATCGATGAAGATGGTGGGAAACCCTTGCTTGTATGCATCCACCAAGGTGGTGGAGCACTGCTCCGGCCTCACCAGATGACGTCTCTCCAAGCAGTATGATTCCAGCCAGCGCATTGTCATGGACAATCCATCCTCACTAGCACTGCCCTTGCAGTGCTCTACGTTGGCTCCCAGGACTTCGATCCCCAGCTTTTCTTTAAGCTCCATGCTATCAACCATGCTACCACGAAGGCTTGCCGCAAAGCCTGCTGGATCTACGTTGGGCTTCTCGCGCATGTCGATGTAGGAAGAGACCCCCAGAAACTCGCCATGGGCTTGCCGGCGGCGGTACTCCCTGAGCAGCGCCGTCTTACCCGAGTCTTTCGGGCCCGTGACGATCACCATCTGCCCCGGCTCCGCCAACACCTCCGGCGTCAAAAGGTCGTTAAGATCCGACAGCTCGCGCTTCCTGTTGAAGAACCTGGCAGCCAGCAGATCCTTCTCCAAGGGACGCACTGCTCGCCTCGCCGCCATCTTTAAAATGAAAGAATTTTAGGGCGCAACGGAATTCTAGGGTTTATGGTGTAGGGTTTATGAAATGGCCGCGACAGCGGCAGCAAGGCGGGCATCCGGATGGCAATGGCGCCGTCCAAATTCCAATGCAGGGCTCCAGGCAGTGGTGGAAGCCAAGGCGATGCCCATGGTCATCACGCGCAGCTACGCCAAGACCCCGCCCAAGCCCAAGCCCCAGCCCGCCTATCTCTTCGCCAAGAACATGGAAGAGGTGGACTACTGCCCGCGCACCTCCGCCGCCCGGCTGCGCACCACCAATCTCATCTCCTACCTCTGGATCAGCAGCTACCGCAGCCCCGACAAGACGCACCACAATCTGGAGCGCTTCCTCCACAGCCCCGACCTCTGGCACTGCGCCTACCAGCGATCCTGCTACAACCGCGGCCTCTGGGCGCCCACCAGCCGGATCGACCAGGAGACCCTGGCCGACCTCGACAACCTCAAGCGCGCGGTCATGGACGGCACCTTCGCCTGGGGCGGCAAGGAGCAGATCTTCGTCTTCCCGCCGCCCAAGCCCGGCAGCGACCCGCCCCCAATCCGGCAGCGCGACGACCCCCGCGGCGATTTCCAGGACGAGATCGTCCAGGAGGTGCTCATCTTCGTGCTGGAGCCGCTGTTCGAGGTGAGGCTCTCGCAGCGCGCGTTTGGGGGGCGGCCGGGGCGGAGCGCGCAGTCGTGCCTGCGCTACATCCAGGGCAACTTCGACGGCGTGGTGTGGACCGTCAAGGGCGATCTCACCAAGCTCTACGACGATCCGCAGCCGGAGCTTATCACCCGGGTGCTCGCCAACGTCGTCCAGGACTCGAGGGTGATCGAGCTCATCGCCAGCGGCCTCCGAGGGAGGCTCCGGCTCGAGGTTCCCATCCCGCGGCCGGTGAGAGTCTCGTATCGCCAGCTAAAGCAGCTGAGCGAGGATAAGAAGCCCAAGCGGTGCCCGTTCTGGCTGGACACCGTGCTCGGCTTCGCTCCGGTCGAGGCGCAAAAGTCGCCCAAGTGGGGATACTGCCACAAGCTCGCGCCTCTCCTCGCCAACATCTACCTCAACGAGCTGGATTCGTGGATGGAGGGCCAGATGAGCGAGTTCTTCCGCCCCCACGATCCAAACTTGGGCATGGAGCCGGACGAGTCCCCGCAAGGAGATTATCTGTGGCAGCACAAGAAGGAGCCGGACAGCAGCGACGACGAGGAGACTTACAGGAACACGCCTTACATCGAGCGGCGGCACTACGAGGATTCCTCGTCGAGCAGCGACGATGAAGAAGGTGGCGATGGAAAAGGTGGCGGTGGCTCCCCGCCGCCGAATCCCCGGCTGGAGCAGCAGCTGGCGGTGGTGGCCGGGAAGGAGCTCATGTCGGACAACTCCAAGCGCATGGAGTACATCCGCTACTCGGGGCACTTCCTGATATCGGTGCGCGGCACGCGGCACGACGCGCTGCGCGCCGTGGAGCGCTGCCGTGCCTTTTGCCGCGAGACCTTCTTCACGGAGCCGGACCTGGACCCGCCGGTGCACATCACCCGCCGGACCTTCTTCCTGGGCCACGAGATCTTCCGCCGCCGCCTCATCATCACCCGGCGGCAGCTCTTCTCGGACAACAGGTACCGCACGCTCAAGCTCCACAAGACCATCCTGTGCGTCAAGGCGGACATGCAGTACTGCCTCCACAAGCTCCGCGAGGTCGGGGTGCTCAAAGGTGACGACCACCCGCTGGCGTGCATGAGGCTCTTCCACACCGAGCAGGCGCAGACCAACGCTCACATGAACAAGCTCCTCCGCGCGCTCGCCGACTGGTACAAGTACGCCTTCAATCGCAAGGCCGTCTGCGGCCTCATCGGCTACGTCTTCCGATCGTCGCTGGCGAAGATGTACGCCGCCAAGTACAAGCTCCGCTCGCAGGCGAAGGTTTACAAGACGGCCAGCTCCGACTTGAGCTACCAGCTCAAGGACCGCAAGGGGCGGACGCCGCAGTACCGGCAGGCGGTGGTGTCGGGCATGAAGACGGGCATCGAGCCGATCGAGTTCCGGTTCCTGGACCGGATACCCGAGGCGGTGTTCTCGCCGCTGCCGCGGAACTGGATGCCGGTGCACGAGCGGCTGCTGCGCGAGTTTGCGAGCCTCAAGGAGCCGCAGACCATGGAGGCGGAGCTGGAGGCGATGCGGGACAAGGAGCCGGCGGCGGTGAGGGAGAGGCTGTCGAGCATCGTGTGGGAGTCTTACCGGGGCGGGACGGCGAGCATGGCCAACTTGGACGAGGACCTCGCCAAGAAGAAGCTCCGGCATGTCACTCCATACCTCTCGGAGCACGACCATGTCCCTCCTCCACCTCTCTAGCTTCGTCTGCTCGATCGATCATAGCAAATGTGTACATTTATGCCTTGAAGAACTCAAGGAGAATTTTTTACAAAAAAAAGGAAGAAAAATCAGGTTTTTACGATCTTATCTTTAGAAATAGAACTAATATAAGTTGAGGAAAAATATTTGGGAGAATAAGGGCATGCTATTCTTCTGTTAGCAATGGCGAGTGATAGCAAGTGTGTAGATGTGGAGGCTTGGGGGCGCAAGCCGGGGGTCTATCTGTACACCTTGAGGAATGGAGGCATCACTGCCAGGATCACGAACTGGGGAGCGACCATCGTCTCGCTCTGCCTCAGGGATCCTTCAGGTTTGAGAATAATCCTTGGTTTTCTCTCTAGATTTGAATTTTTGCAGCTGGAGAGGACATTGATATCGTTCTGGGATTTGATTCCTGCGATCCTTACATGGTATCTTCTCTTCTTTGTTGTTTTTCTCGCCTTTCTTCTTCTTCTTCTTCTTCTTAGAGTCGTCGTTTTTCCAGGATGGAACCTCGCCGTATTTTGGATGCATTGTTGGTCGCGTAGCGAACCGGATCAAAGACGCATCTTTTTCCATGGATGGAGTCACGTACACTCTGCCTGCCAATAACAACATGAACACTCTTCATGGTACGCTTGCTCTTTTCTGCCTGGACTTTCCTCACTGTGAAGTTTGTGTGGGACAAAAACAAAAAAACAAAAAAACACCATCCACACTGCACAGGTGGTGAAGTTGGATATGACAAAGTGCTGTGGCAGTCGCAAATTGTCAAGGAATCTCAGGTCCCAGCGGTCGAATTTACGTACCGCAGCAGCGATGGCGAGCAAGGTATAGCTTCCTCGCTTTCGACTTCCTGTACAGCTTTAAAGCCTTCTCTTCCTTTTCGTGAAGGATTCCCGGGCGAGCTGGACGTTTCAGTAACTTATGCTCTTCACGAGAACGAGCTGCGCGTGGAAATGAGAGCTGTGCCGGCGAGCAAGCAAACTCCGGTCAGCCTTGCGCAGCACACGTACTGGAACCTGGCGGGGCACAAGAGCGGCAGCATCCTCGACCACACCATTTGCATCTCGGCCTCTCGCTACACTCCAGTGGACGACTTCCAGATTCCCACTGGCGAGCTCGCCCCCGTCGCAGGCACCGCCTTTGATTTCCTGCAAGAGGCCAGGATCGGTTCCAGGATTGATCAAGTCGAGGGGGGATACGATCACAACTACGTGCTGGATCAGAAGCAAGGACCTGGGCTTTGCTTTGCTGCCAGGGTGAGAGATCCATCCAGTGGAAGAACGATGGAGCTTCTCACGGACGCGCCGGGCTTGCAGTTCTACACGGGGAACTTCTTAGTGGCAGAGGCTGGAAAAGATGGACAGGTTTACAGGAAGCACGCCGGGCTTTGCCTCGAGACGCAGGGATTTCCAAATGCCGTTAACGACGCAAGGTTCCCGAGCGTGATGGTTTCCCCCGGGGAAGTTTACAGGCACCAGATGGTGTTTAGATTCTCCGTGACACGAAAGGAAAAAACAAAGTGTTTGCTCGAGTGATTGATAGCAGCTTTCGGCCGAGGTAAGATCATGAGCTTTAAATTCTCTGGTCCGAGGATAAAAACACGAGGAACTGGCTAACAACTTGGCTGCTGCAGTGGAGCATTCAAGGTGCTGGGAGGAGAGGATTGATTGATAGTGTCATTCCATCCACACAGCAGATAAGTTTACAGAGCAGGACGATTGATCCTGTAACAAACATAGCAAAGAACACACAGAGAGAGATCACACTGGAATTTATAAAGAATCCATAGCTTAGAGAAGATGTTACAGCTTGATCTCAAATTCATGGGTGTCTCTGACCATGCTCTTTTCGTTTTTGGTGACTTGTGGAGCCATGACTGTTTTGCAGTACTTGTCTTTCAAGTTTCATGTGGAGGAAATAAGAGATTTTGACAAGACATTTAAAGAGCGAGAGGGGAGACGAGATCCATCCCGCGGGGGCCCTAAGTGAGAAGATCAAAGTTTGGAAACCAATGCGAGAATTTGCTGCTCGCTCGCCTGTTCTCTCACGCTTTGACGAAAGAGTTTAGGAATGGACGGGCGGGATGCGCTTAAACCCAACGGCTGGGATGGAGTCTCGTACGGATGAGATTGAGAAATTAATGAGCCAGCGAGGAAGCGCGTCGGTCTCGTCTGGTGTTTTTTACCAGCATGCACGGTAATAAAGCGCGCAGTTTCCCCCCTAAATTTGGGGGTGCCAATCACTGCCGCCAAATCCACCAACTCGCACTTACGCCCGCCCTCTGGTAAAAAAAAGTGCCCCCATTTCACTAAAACAGCTTTTAACCTTGTCCTTTCATCGTCAATGTTTTGAATGTCCGCCATAGCCATCAATCTTTGGGGGCCTGGCTTGGCTTTGCCGCGCGACACGGGCGGCGCATCGATCGATCGCTAGCGGCTGGCAGCGACGCGAGAGGATTCTCCGTGTTTTCTTGCTCGCGGCTGCCAATGGGGGTGGATTCTAGGACAAAGATGATCCTGCACAGTCGATGTCTGTGCTGTGCTTGCCAGCGCCAATGCGTGGAGGGCGCAGGCGCTGTTCTTGGCCATGGACGCACAGCTGGAATCGCAATTCGAGGTTCGTGATGTGATGTTTCCAGGTATTTCGACTCCCCTGGCGCCGCTGCGCGATCGACGACTCCGGCACTAGCAGCATTGGATGAGGCGGCGGAGTAGAATCTAGCGCAGGAAGAGATGAGAATTTCCAGGATTGCCTTGGTCGTCGTCGCGATAATCTCCGGCCTTGATCCTGGATCCGCGCAGTCGAGCGGCGCCGAATCGGACAGGGAATCGCTACGAATCTTTCTCCAAGGCGCGCTTCCAGCGCAACCGGCATTCAATCTCTCCGGCTCGCCCTGCCGCTGGCCGGGCGTCAGCTGCTCGGACACGGATAGCCGGGTCACTCGCATCGATTGGCAGGGCTGGGAGTTGCGAGGATCCATCCCACAGGACTCCATTGGCAGGCTCGATTCGCTGCTCTACCTCAATCTCTATAACAACTCCATCTCGGGCACTCTCCCGACGGATCTATGGGACCTCCCGCAGCTCCAGTACCTCAACCTCTCCAGGAACCTCCTCCAGGGATCCATGTCCATCGCGCTGGGTCGGCCTTCGGGGCTCTTCTTCCTGGATCTCTCGCAGAACCATCTTGCCGGCCAGATTCCTCCCAGCATTGGGCTGCTCAAGAGCTTGGTGGTGTTGAATCTCAGCCGGAACGACTTCCAGGATCTGGTCCCAGGTGCCATCTTCGGCTGCTCGTTCCTGCGGACGCTCGACCTCTCCTACAACAGGATCTCGGGGGTCTTCCCGTCGGGGCTCTCGCATTTGGTCCAGCTCCAGGCTCTCTACCTCAACAACAACATGCTGAGTGGAATGGTGCCGCCGGAGACGAGCCGGCTACACTACCTCGCGGTGCTGGATCTCTCCGAGAACCACTTCACGGGGCCTTTTCCCCGCGTGGACGGGCTCAGGAAGCTGGAGGTTCTCAACATCTCGGGGAACTTTTTGGGTGGGACGATTCCAACGGGCACTTTTCGCATCCCCGGATTGAGGAAGTTCTCGGCCAGGAGCAACTTTTTCGTGGGGAGTTTACCAACACCGTCGCTCTTGCACAGCACCTTGAGCTACATCGATCTGGGGCAGAACAACTTGTCAGGAAATGTTTCTGTGGGGATCTGGAGTATGAACTCGGTAGAAACTCTGCGGCTGGACGGGAACAGCTTGTCTGGGCTTTTGCCATCGCAGGTCGGTGCTGCATTGAAGGAGCTAGACCTCAAAAACAACGAGTTCAGCGGCCCCGTTTCTTCCGACTTGGGAGCGTTCCAAAGTCTTGCGTACTTGGACTTGTCGACAAACAGGCTGAGTGGGCCTCTACCGGAGAAGTTGACCGGGTTCCCGTCCTTGGTCCATCTCGGGCTGGACAACAATCCGTTTCTGGAGAGCAGGTTCCCAAAGCTTCAAGAACTCAAGAAGCTCGAGTACTTGAATCTTTCCGCGACTCAGCTCACCGGAGGCATTCCCGAAGAGATTGGCAATCTCCAGACGTTGAAGCAGCTGGACCTCTCGCACAACGAGCTCAACGGAACGCTTCCCGAAAGTCTGGGAAGCCTGGTGGGATTGACTTCGCTGGACATGTCGTACAATCAACTCAATGGCTCCATTCCCAACTCCATGGCCAGGTTGACACAGCTACAGCACTTGAACTTTTCGTACAATGATCTCAGTGGAGATGTTCCTGGTTGGCCCTTCATGCTCCCTTCAGGCTTACTGGGGAACAAGGTACTACTTGCCAACTTTTCTCTCTGATAATTTCTTTCTCCGTAGCTTCAAAAGCTGATCACTTTTTCTATGACAGGGACTGTGTGGGCGTGTGCTGAATGTGCCTTGCCCGCGAGAAATAGTACCGTCGTCGGGCCACAGTCCATCAGACAACAGCGAGCACAACATCCGGAACTCACCACACAGGAGGCATTTGCGAGTCGCAGTCATAGTCGGCATTGTCACGGGATCAGCAGCAGCACTCCTCTGCGTCCTGGCCGGACTCTGCTACTGCCGAGGCAGCGTCAAAGTTTTCAACAAGAAGCAAGAGCCAACAAAAGAGGAGCGCTTCATCTCCATGTCGGGCCCCTTCTCGTCCGAGATGGATCCATCAGTGTGGGCGGCGGGGGTCCGGGATCCACACACCATCCCAGTGGTGATGTTTGAGAAGCCGCTACTCAACCTCACATTCTCGGACCTCGTCCAGGCCACCGCCAACTTTAGCAAGGACGCGCAAGTCCCCGACGGCGGCTGTGGCCCAGTCTTCCAAGGCATCCTCCCAGGTGGAATTCACGTTGCGGTGAAGATCCTCGGCGAGGGGATACCATCCGAGGACGTGGCATCCGCGTGTGCACAGCTAGCAGCCATCGGCCGGCTCAAGCATCCCAACGTGGTACCGCTGCTGGGCTACTGCATGGTCGGGGTGGAGAGGCTGCTGGTTTACGACTACGTCCAGGACGGGGGCGACCTGTATGGCCGGCTCCACGAGCTGCCCGAGGGGATGCCCAACACCGAGGACTGGTCAACGGACACTTGGGAGCATGGGCAGGAGGGGACTACTAACGCGGCGGTCCTGGCCGTGCTGCCGTGGTCGGTCCGCCACCGCGTCGCGCTGTGTACCGCCCGGGCTCTGGCGTTCCTGCACCACGGCTGCAGCCCCCCGGTTGTGCATGGCGACGTGAAGGCGAGCAACGTGCTTCTGGACGCAGAGTGTGAGGCTCGGCTGGCCGGGACTGGGCTGGCGCAGCTCGTGGAGATTGGGACCGGAGAGGCCGGCTACGTGCCGCCCGAGTTTGGCAGCAGCAGCTCCAATGCAGGAAACAACAACAGCAACAGCAACTCGGGCTCCTCCCGCGAGATGTCGCCGAAGGCCGACGTTTACTCGTTCGGGGTGGTGCTCCTGGAGCTTGTGACGGGGAAGAGGCCCGTCGGGGACGACTACCCGGGAGGGCACGGCAACCAAGGCGGGGTTGTGCAGTGGACGAGGTGGCTGGTCAAAGAGAAGCGGGGCTTCAAGGCTCTGGACGCGAGGGTGATGCAAGGGGACGAAGACATGACCGAGATGCTCGAGGCTTTGAGAGTGGCCTACTTGTGCACGGCAGAGACTCCCAGCAAGAGACCCACAATGCAACAGGTTGTGGGGCTGCTCAAGGACTTGCGGCCATCGTCCTCGATCTCCGGAGAGCTGGTTGGAGGATCCTTCTGATCCACGTACAGGTGCTTTTGGCGGTTCTTGCCGAGGTCAGCCAGCTTTGTTTTCTTCTCGTTTTGCTATTTGTTTTGATCCCGTGCGTCCCGTTACAGGAGATCCGGATCGATAGCAACAAAAACAAATGACACTACTGAAACCCAACAGTGATCTCTCTAGAACAGGAGATGATTCCTCTCCGCGGAAACTCTTAACTGGCAGCTAAGGTAGCAGTAAAATATGATTTGTTCTTCGCGAGTTCTCTATCTATTCCCAGTGGATCGCACGTCAGTACAAAAGAATGCGCTCCTTCCGAATTCGTGTCCCCAACAAAATCCAATTGTTGCTTAAACTTCCATCTTCGAAACGACGAAATCGAAAGAAACTTCTCAAACGCGGCCCCACGCGTTGGGCCGTCCCGCTGCACGAAGCCTGCACGTCACAGGTTATTCCGCTCGCTCTCCGGCACATTCCGGCAAATCTGACGGCATATCCGCGGGATGCCGCACATTCCGCTTGCCGGCTCACGGCCGTCAATGAAAATGACCTAATATAACAGGGCACGTTCCAATGCAGCGTGGAAAGGAAGAAGTTTAGCCGCGTGATTGTTTTTTGTGAAATCGTCAAATCCACTCCCTCTTGCAGGGGTAATTCCCTTCTTATAGCTGTGATCGCGATATAGAGCCCACAGCAGTAGAACGACCCGACGAATTTTTCCACATCCCAGCGATCTAGAATTCCATAGTGGCGCAAAAAAATGACTTAGTCCCTCCCGCACTGTGGCGACGCCGCTAAAGTCGCTGCATCCATGCCAATTCTTCTCTCCTCGCGTTTCTCAGCACGAATCGGTCGCAGGTTTTAGCTCGTCCTTCTTAGTCCTCTCTAGGCCATCAGCACTTCATAAGCAGCAGCATCATCGATCAAAATGGCGTCTTCGCAGCAGCAGCAGCAGCAGAGCACTCGCACAAATAGCTTCCGCAATCCCGCGGCCGCTCCAAACAGCACAGGTCCTCAGCTTCGATCCTCCAGCGGCCGCTACCGGTATGCTTCACGCGACGAGAGCGAGATGTCCGATATCATGTCCACCGCCGACTTCCCCGTGAGCGGGGAGTTCCTGAATCCTTACACGGTGCACATACCCCCGACGCCGGACAACCAGCCTATGAACTTCTCGGGCCCGACAGCACCGCAGCAAGCGTCCCAGCAGTTCGTCTCAAACGCCATCTTCACCGGAGGATACAACGCCATCACCCGCGGCCACATCATGGAGAAGCACCCCGAGCACGGCCAGCAGCTCCTCACCGGGCCTTCCACCTGCGGCGTCCGGGGCTGCGACCAGCTCGCAATGAGGGACGAGCAAGGCAACGAGATCCATCCCTGCGAGTGCGGCTTTAGCATCTGTAAGGAGTGCTTCATCGACGCCGTCTCCAACGGTGGAATCTGTCCCGGCTGCAAGGAGGTGTACAAGGAGGAGGACGAGGATGACGAGCGGGAGACGGAGTCCAAGACCAAAGCTCTCACTCCCACTTCTGGCGCCTCTGCCGCCACCACCACGGCCACTGCCAAGGCCGATCCCCGGAGGCTTGGATCCCGGAAGAACACCATGATCGTGAAGCAGTCGGAGTTTGACCACGCCAAGTGGCTCTTCGAGACCAAAGGTACCTATGGATATGGAAACGCTCACTGGCCACCCAACGATTATAACTTCGGCCCGGATGCCGATCCACCTGCCTTTAACGAGCGGTCCAAGCGCCCCCTGGCCAGGAAATCTAGCATCCCAGCCGCCATCATCAGCCCATACAGGTACTTTGCTCGATCCGCAAACTTTGTCTTTTGTCTGCTAACATTTTTTTTTTCTGGACTCCAGGTTCTTGGTGCTCTTCCGGATGGTTGTCCTGGTCCTGTTCCTCATGTGGCGAGTGAGGAATCCAAACCGTGACGCAGTGTGGCTGTGGGGTATGTCCGTCGCCTGTGAGATCTGGTTTGCCTTCTCGTGGCTGCTCGATCAGCTGCCAAAGCTAGTTCCGGTTAACCGGCACACGGACTTGGAGGCGCTCAAAGAAAGGTTTGAGAAGCCGGGTCCGAACAATCCCAAGGGACGGTCTGATCTTCCAGGCGTGGACCTGTTCGTCTCTACTGCTGATCCCGAGAAGGAGCCACCACTCGTCACTGCCAACACTATCCTGTCCATTCTAGCCGCAGAATACCCCGTCGAGAAGACCGCCTGCTATCTTTCTGACGATGGAGGAGCACTGTTAACCTTCGAGGCACTTGCGGAGGCCGCCAGCTTTGCTCAGACCTGGGTCCCCTTCTGTCGCAAGCACGTGATCGAGCCTCGCAATCCCGAGACGTATTTCGCGCTGAGAGGTGATCCAACCAAGAACAAGTCGCGTCCTGATTTCGTAAAGGACAGGAGACGAGTGAAGCGTGAGTACGACGAGTTCAAAGTCAGGATCAACGGCCTACCTGAGGCGATCCGGCGGAGGTCCGATGCCTACAATGCGCACGAGGAGATCAAAGCCAAGCGAGCACAGATCGAGAGCGGCAGAGACGTGACAGAGCCTCTCAATATCCCAAAAGCGACCTGGATGTCCGATGGCACACACTGGCCAGGAACTTGGACGGTGACGTCGTCGGAGCATGGTCGAGGTGATCACGCTGGTATCATCCAAGTAAGTTTTTTCGCCACCTTTTGTTTCTCCTTGAAAAGTTGGCTGACTCGATCTGTGGCTGTTCCCAGGTGATGCTGGCTCCTCCAAGCAGTGACCCAATCCTCGGCACCCCCGATACTTCTACCATCATCGACACCACCGGCATCGACACCCGCCTTCCAATGCTGGTCTACGTCTCCCGAGAGAAGCGCCCCGGCTACGACCACAACAAGAAAGCCGGAGCCATGAACGCGCTCGTCCGGGCCAGCGCCATCATGTCCAACGGAGCCTTCATCCTCAACCTCGACTGCGACCACTACATCTACAACGCGCTCGCTATCCGTGAGGCGATGTGCTTCATGATGGACCGCACCGGCGACCAGATCTGCTACGTCCAGTTCCCCCAGCGGTTCGAGGGGATCGACCCCAACGACCGCTACGCCAACCACAACTCCGTCTTCTTCGACGTCAACATGCGAGCTCTGGACGGAATCCAGGGCCCCGTCTACGTTGGCACCGGCTGCTGCTTCCGGAGAACCGCCCTCTACGGCTTCGACCCCCCAAGAGTGAAAGACCGAGGCTGCTGCGGCGGAGGAAGGAAGAAAACATCCAAGACCAAGAGCATCGAGGACGACGACGTTGAGCTCCAGCTCTTGCCAAAGCGGTTCGGCAACTCGGCCGGTTTCGCTGCTTCCGTCCCTGTTGCCGAGTTCCAAGGCCGGCCTCTAGCCGAGCAGGGTGCGAAGAACGGTCGACCACCTGGAGCTCTTCTCGTCCCCCGCGAGCCTCTCGATGCCACCACGGTCGCGGAGGCCATTCACGTTATCTCGTGCTTCTACGAGGGGAAGACCGAGTGGGGGCAGCGAGTCGGATGGATCTACGGCTCGGTCACCGAGGACGTGGTCACCGGCTTCCGGATGCACAACCGCGGGTGGAGGTCGGTCTACTGCGTCACCAAAGTCGACGCCTTCCACGGCACAGCTCCCATCAACCTCACCGATCGTCTCCACCAGGTCCTCCGCTGGGCCACCGGCTCGGTCGAGATTTTCTTCTCCAGAAACAACGCTCTCTTCGCCAACACCCGGCTTAAGTTCCTCCAGAGGATCGCCTACCTCAACGTTGGCGTCTATCCCTTCACCTCGATCTTCCTCGTCGTCTACTGCTTCCTCCCAGCGCTGTCGCTCTTCACAGGAGAGTTCATCGTCCAGACGCTGAGCACCACCTTCCTGGTCTACCTCTTCGTCATCACGCTCACGCTGTGCCTGCTAGCGGTGCTCGAGATCCGGTGGTCGGGTATCACCCTGGACGAATGGTGGCGGAACGAGCAGTTCTGGCTGATCGGCGGAACCAGCGCTCACCTCGTGGCGGTCCTCCAGGGGCTGCTCAAGGTGGTCGCAGGCATTGATATCTCCTTCACGCTCACGTCCAAGGCCGCTGGAGACGAGCAGGACGTGTATGCCGACCTCTACATCGTCAAGTGGTCGGCGCTCATGATCCCGCCCATCACGATCATGCTCACAAATCTCATCGCCATCGCCGTGGCGGTGTCGCGTGAGATCTACTCCGAGGTCCCGCGCTGGAGCCAGCTCCTGGGCGGGGTGTTCTTCAGCTTCTGGGTGCTGTGCCATCTCTATCCCTTCGCCAAGGGCCTGATGGGCCGCAAGGGCAGGGCTCCCACGATCGTCTTCGTCTGGGCGGGGCTCCTGTCTATCATAATCTCGCTGCTGTGGGTGTCGCTGAGGAACCCTAGCGGCGCCAACAACATTGGAGGGGGATTCCAGTTCCCATAGCCATACCCGAGACAATGCAGCTCCATTCTTCGCCCAGTTGCCGCCGCGGCTGCTCCACGGAGCATTGTAGATCTACAGAGAAGGACTGGATCGATTCGGCGCGATCGATCGATCGATTTTTTGGACGCCAATGCGCGCCGCGAAAGAAAAAAAAAAACTTTGTGAATAAAGGAACCCTAAATCCAAAATGGCTTGAGGTCGAAGAGTTAGGGTTTTCCGGAGCGCAGAGCTAGGCGGGAGAACGCACGCGGCGAGAGATGGTATGTTTTCCTTGTGCTGATCGATCGATCGCGCGTTTCTTAGGGTTTTTTTCGCGCAGCTTCCGCTTTCGCTGCTCAAGACAGCGCATGGGCACCCAATGGTGAGTGATGTTCTTCGTTTTCTTCTTTGTCTGAAAATTCGCTTTGGTAGCTAGTGGAGCTCAAGAATGGAGAGACTTACAATGGGCATTTGGTGAGCTGCGATAGCTGGATGAACATCCATCTACGAGAAGTTATTTGCACTTCCAAGGCGAGTGATGTTTTCTCCTTCCTTTCTTTTGCGGAAGTTCTCATCCTTCTTTCTCTCCAGGATGGAGACCGGTTTTGGAGAATGCCCGAGTGCTACATCAGGGGCAACACCATTAAGTATCTTCGTGTTCCAGACGAGGTGAGCGATTTCCATTCGCGTTACTGCCGAGCTTGTTTGTGAGAGAGAGAGATCGTCACTCACTTCGTTTGAACCAGGTGATTGACAAGGTCCAAGAAGAAACCAAGCGCTCTGGTAAATCTTCCTCTTTCTCCTGGTTCTAGTTTTCTCACAGATCTGGCTTTACAGATAGAAAGCCCCCGAGCGTCGGGCGTGGCCGCGGAAGAGGGGAGGTTGTAGGACGAGGCAGGGGGCGGGGGCCGCAAGAAGGAGGCCGAGGAGGCCGTGGAGCTCCAAGAGGAGGCCGAGGTATCAAGTTTGTCTCTGCGAATAAGAACCTTTTTTCACTTCGTTCTTTGCTTTGTTTTTGTAGGTGGTCGGGGTCGTGGCTGATGATTCACATACGTCGCAAAGATCTGGGAAAAGACAGGCTTGTGCATGAAAGTTTTGTAGAGCTCCTCTAAGATTTGAAGATTTGAGAGCTACTATTTTCAGTGTATCACCATATCAATTTAATTGGCATCTACAAAACTTTGATCATACTTCAAAGTGATAGTCTTCCAGCCAGATAAGCACTTCGTTTCTCTGCAACGAACAAGCAATCCATGGGAAAAAATATGAGATTTCCAAGTGATAAATCTTACTCTTAAGAAAGCTGGAGTGCTATCGGGATCGTTGTAGCGAGCAAGCAAGTAGCCATCCGCAGGCTTAAGATCATCTCTGCGAAGACTGTCTCTCAAGAGCTTTTGCTTTTCCATGACGAGTTCTTCGGTGACTGCGCCGCTAAACTTGATCGCAGCAGCGTAGACTCTGCTCACTTCACGTAGAGTTAGCTCGCTGGAGTTTGGAGGAGGCAATCTAGAACAATTTAAAGATCAGTAATGCTTTACTTGGTTCTACTTACTTCGGGAGCTCGCAATTCAACGGCAAGACAATCTGGATCACGTCGCTGCAATCCTGGCTCTGCCTCGCTGTAAAAACTGGTGTGGTCATCTTCATCTTCTCCTCGCGTTGGTTCTTTCCAAAGATGTACCTGTTCTCGCGACGTGAAGCACTGAACTTGCTTAGGATAATAATTTACCCGGCAACGCTGTTGAAACCGCTTGAGCTAGCCAGTCCATCAGTCGTGGTTTCGACTACTAGAAATGCGTCATACTTCCGAATCTACATTTGTTTTTCAGCAGTCAGTGGCTTGCAAATTAGAAAAAAAAAGGGGGGAAAAGAACAGAACCTCGTAATATTTGGTTCTCTTCAAAGCCGTGTATTTTGGAGTCTCCAAGTTGGGTGTTTTGAAAGGTCGCATCTATTACAAACAATCATAAAAGAATCGTCATAGAATAGAGAGCTTGCCTGCTTCAACACGTCCATGACGGCCTCAAACGAGAAATAGTCATTGTTGTCTACAGAATCCCAGTAGTCCTGTTCTACAACGAGATGAAGTGCCTGTGAAACGAAAAAGCTCGAAGTTACCACATGGCTGCGAAATCTTCCAGTGCTCAAGTTGACTCCCATGACCGAAACTCCTGTAATCAGCAGCACTGGCTTCCATGGCAACAGTTTGAAGGTCATGTTCATTGTCCATCGTGTTGTGATCTCGTCCTGTTTTGTCTGTGGAAAATCGAGAATACAGCAGCCGAGTCAAGCCTAGAAAACAATGGCCTCGTCAAACCTTCTTGGCCTCGTGAAGGATAAATTCGACGTTGAAAACCACGCGGAGGAGCTGGAGGTTGAAAAGGTAGCCGCTCAGAGTGTCATACTTGGTGATGGGATCTCTAAACTCCACTCGCTCCTCGTAGCGGGTCCTGTCGATTCCCTGGTCGTCAAACAGGTGTGGCAAATCCTGCTCCAGGAACCCGACCAAACTTTCCGCATCAGTAGCAACAGGAGTGGCAGTAGCAGAGACTCGCCTAGACAAGCGGGGCACCGATACTCTGCTGTGGAACTTGGACGGCTTCGCTCCAGGCAGCTTGGGAAACTTACAGCAGCTACGACCACCAGAGGCGAAAAACTGTGAGGGAAGAAGTCCCGTCGCCATAGCCACCTTTAAGCTGAAGTTAGCATTTGATGAAAGCAAAAGTTTATGTAGACCTCTCAATCTTCAATCTTGGCCATATGAGAGACACCTTGCAGAAAACTACATGTTACTGGAAACTCCAAAGCCTGCATTTAGCATTTAAAAGACGTCAGAGGAAAATTCTGAGAATGAAAGTTCTACGAACCTCTTTCCTCGTTTTGCTCTTCATTCACTTTGAATCCATGTAGAAACTACATCGTACGCAGTTCCTGGAAAAAAAATTCTTTGTCAGCAAGATAAAGGAACATATTCTGACGAACCTGTTTGCCTCGTTCACGATCCAATTCTCTTTCGTGATATTGCCATGAACTATACCATCGTTGCAGTCATCAGCTGATTGGAGAGCAGCAAGTATGGAGCCACGCCAGTCTCGTCGTCTTTCAGCCCAAAAAACCTCTTTGAAACTCTCTCCCCGCGCTGGAACTCTCCATGCATCTCACACCCTCCAAGCACGGCAGTCCACTCCACAGCATTGGGCTCAAACGGCATCAGCTCGACGAGCTCCTCGGCGTCGTTCAATCGGCCAGCTCGTCCCAGGAGATCCAGCATGCAGCAGTAGTGATCCCGCGTCGGGAAGCTGCTAAAGTCGGCGGTGATAGAGTGGAAGTGGCTGCGACCATCCTCGACCAGTCCAGCATGGCTGCAAGTCGAGATCACGCACAGGAACGTCACAAAGTCGGGGACGATCCCATCCAAGTTGAGCAGCCAGTAGAGCTCCAAAACTCTCCTCCCCTGACCCTTTTGAGCGTAGGACGAGATCATCGCGTTCCAAGTCTCGATCGTCTTCCTCGCCGCCATCTCGTCGAAGATCTCTCTCGCCTCCGCCAGCTTTCCGCATTTTCCATAGAGGTTGAGCAGCGCGGTCTTGACGATCACGCACTCACCCAGCTCCTCCACGCCTTGGACGATCCAGTGCACAGTTCTTCCCTCGTCGAGCCTCGTGAGGTTCGCGCAGGCGTCGAGAACCGTGACGCACGAGATCTTGTCCGCAGTCACTCCTTCCAGATCCATCTCGCGGAAAATTTCGATCGCGAGAGAGTACTCGCCGCTCTGGATCATCGCTCCCATCATCGCATTCCACGACACGAGTGACCTCCCCGGCATCCGCTGGAAAAATCTCTCGGCCTCGGGGAGCTCTCCATTGGATCCACACGCCACGATCATGCTCGTCCAGCAGACGTGATCCCTGGCGCTGGAAAGCCCGTGGAAGAGCTCCCTCGCTCGATCGATCTCGCCATTTTCAGCGAAGGCCGCGATCATCGAGGTGTGGAGAATCACATCGCCGCCGGAGCTCACCGAGTCATACACCGCCTTGGCGCTCGCAGTGGATCCAAACTTTCCATACATACTCACGAGTGAGGTAGCGACGAGAACATCCGCGGCCAGGCAAGCGGTAGCGGCGCGCGAGTGAAGATCTTTGCCGAGCTCCACCGCCAGCGCGGAGGCGCAGGCATCGATGCACGACACGAATGTGATGCGATCCGGCGGCACGTCCATCCGCCGGAACAACGCGATCGCCTCCGCCGCGCGGCTCGCCCGGACGAGCGCGGTGATCATCGTGTTCCAGGATACCACGTCGCGGCGCGGCATCTCCTGGAACAGCGCTTTCGCGTCGTCAATATGCCCGGTCTGGGCAAATGCTGTAACGATGATGTTCCACGAGATGCTGTTCTTCCGGATCTCTGGCATCCGGTGGAAGATCGCACGCGCCTCCGCAAGATCTCCACCTTGCGCGTAGGCGAGCATCAGCAGGTGCCAGGAGACCGAATTGGGCTCCGCAATGGAGTCGAAGATGCACCGAGCGGATGCCGTGCTGCCGCAATTGCCATACATCTGGACGAGGAGATTCTGGAGGAAGATGTCGCGCTCCAATCCGGTGTTGACGATGTGCCGGTGGATTCTCCTGCCCTGATCCAGGGCCTGGCGACTGCCGCATTCGCGGAGGAGCGATGCAAACGTGTTCTTGTCCGCGGTCTCGCTGCGATCCAGGAGACCGAGGCTCGCGGTGAGATGATCCTGGTGCTTCTTGCCGCCGCTGGAAACGATCCTGGGAGGGATTCTTGCTGCTTGGAAGCGAAACCTTGTCCATTGCTTCATTCATCTTCTTCTTCCATAAGCCCTAAATATTTTCTCCAGCCATGGCGGAGCTGCGCGAGCGATTGTGGCGCCCCGCCGCGCAGCGGAATGTGAGGAACGTCTGGTCTTCGATTGCCGCGGCGCGATCGTCGTGGTCGGCGGCTTCCAGCAAGGGCCTCTCGGCAGCCACTGGATTCGTCAATGTTTTTCTCACGCAGGGGTAGTTCTTCCAATCTGGATCGTGCTTGCTCCAATCCTTCTTCGCAGATATTTGGTGTCCATGGATTTGGGAGTGCTGGAAGACATGCCTGGCCTGCGATCGGCATCGAGCGAGAAGCTCCTGTGCCAGCAGGTTTGAATCAAATCGATCTTTTCAGGAAGATTTATTTTTCTTTCATTTGCAGAGATCAAACTGCCAGGAGCTCGTCTCGGCGTACCAAGAGCTGGTGTGAGTGGATTTTTTTCTCCATAGCTTTTGGTTCTTATGCTTGTTTGAGCAGGAAGATGCTACTTCCAGGTTGATTTATGCGGCCAAGTCCATGAGAACCTACGTGAAGGATTCTGGAAGCGTAGCTACATTCTCGCAAGAGAAAGTTTTCGACGGTGACAATGGCGATGGCGATGGAGCTCCCGTGTTCTCAATGCTCACTATCAAATGCTACGGTTTGTTTTCTCGATTTCTTGTGTCCGTGTTGATCCTTTTGTCTTTGCAGAAGATTTAGCAACGGAGATCACTGCCATGTACCTTAGAGAACTAAGGATCAAGGTGACGTTTACAATGCAATGGCTTTCTGATCTTACTTATCAACTTCTTCAGTGGCGCATTGCTTCCAAGCTCTTGGGTTTCCAGGACAATGAAGTTCTCTCCACAGAGAATCTGAGAGCTCTCCATTGCTTGATGTTCTGCGAGCACGAGTTATCGATAGCTGGACACTGCACAAACCACGATTTACCAAGCTCAGCTCTTGACCTTCCCGGAACCAAACTCGAAAGAGAAGCTCTAGAGGTAACTTGCGAGTGTTTTAACCATCGAAAGGTGCCAACCAGCTCTTTATAGGTGTGTTTAACTTCTTGGCTTGCCGAGGCTCAAGTCGAGAAAAACAGGTATGCAAAGCCATGAAAGCACTTTTCTCCTAATTACTGCAGCTTTACAGGGTCGAAGGAATGCTGGCTATCGTGAATGACGAGATGTCCAAGGATAAAAGATGAGTACAAGGTACTCGGACCTTCCTTCAAGCTTAAAAGACCGCCTATTCTTTGATTGTGGCGCAGAGATGAGCGCCGTCGAAAATGTGGAGCAACGTGTTTATGGTTCTCTGGCGGATCGTCGCCACTCTCTTGTCAATGCGCCAACGCGACCATCATCCAATAAGCCGCTGCTTCCTGTGCGTTCATAATCCAGGTACCGATGAGTCGACAACACTGTGTAGGAAGAAAGCTTGCTTTTGCTCCCAATGTCTCGAGCAACCAAACGAGATCTCTCCGTCATCTGGCGAATTCGACGATGGCCTTGAGACGATCCCGTCCTCATCCTGCTTTCCAGCCGGTTCCAAGTCCCGGAGAAGAGCGATCAAGCTCGTCACCAAGCGCTGCGTCAACTGTTTGATGGGTTACTCGGCCGACTGTCTAGCATTGTGCTGCTGTCCGCTCTCGATCCCACACTTTCTCTTCGTCACGCTTCCCGTGCTACTCTACCGCCGGATCTGCAAGCTTACAACGAAAGCCAAGTCGGTATCAGCGTACCAGAGGCTGGGCATCAATCCCGACGAGCTCAGGAAACCCAAGGACTCACTACTCAAAGAGGACGAGATCCCTTTCACTGGTTTTGGAGGCGAATACTGGAAAGAGAATTTCGAATCTTAAGAAACGCATAAAAAATATTCTCTTTAAACTTGAAGTTTCAAAATAGTTAATCAAAATATATGAGGTCTCAAATACAAATTTTTTTCCCCATCTTGTTGTTTTTTGTAAAAGAGGATTGTCATTCTCTTACTCTAAACCTTAAAAAATTTCATGAAAATAACATAAATATTATATAATAAATGCTGTAGTACATAAATAAGTTTATATGGAATTGTAATTTTTAAAAAATTAGAAATAAATTATTCTTTTTAATAATGAAATTTGTATATAATTAATAAACTGATAAACAAAAATCAAACATATCATTGAGTTTGTAAACATGTTTTGATTATAATTCATAAAAACTTTTAACTAAAATATTAATGAATTCTATTATTTTAAAGGATATTTTATACATAAGACATAATATATATAAAGAAAATATTAATTAATTTTTAATAAATATATTTTTAAGATTTAAATTTCATGCATTGTCTTCTAGACCTCAATCTCAACAATAAAAATAATTTATATAAAAATAATTATAATATAATATAGATAAAAAGAATATTATCTGTAACTAAAAGTTAATTAAATTGTTTTATTAAGTTGGTAAATTATAAAAAATAATTTCATAAATTTTTTAATAAATATTGATAATATAGATATATTAATTAAAAGTTAAAATATTAACTTTAATATGTAAATGAAAGATTAGAAGGATATAAATGCCCCAAACTTTTCAATATAAAAATCTATATAATAATATTTCACCATAAAAAATAAATATTCTATTGTTTTAAGTATTTATCTTAATGCTTTCAAACTCCTTTAATAAGTAGAAATTTGGAAATAGAAGTTTAAAATTGAAATTTTATAAAGATTGTGAGTGCATAAAATACAGAAATGGAATATATAAATATACATATTCAATTAGCCCAAAAACACTAGCTTATATACAAAAATGAATGGTCCAAATTAAAATCAATTCAATAATTGTCAAAATCCTACTATACTAAAAATGTTAAAATTAATATACAACATTATAGATATACACTTGGACCTCATGTCATTCCTTCCTCTTAGAAGGATGGAAAGCCCTTAAGGTTCCCTAATCCATGGGTTAGAATTTGGAAGAATATCAAAAGGAGGCACCAGTGAATCTCTAAAAAGTGTAAATTATTCTAAATCCTTTTGTATGAAGGGTTTTAATTGTTGTACATACATAGTTCTTTAAGGATTAGCTTGTTGAATAACATGTCAAACTTTATAAATTTGCAATCCAACTTACTGTAATACTCAATATAATCCTTTCCACTAAGCACGAAGCCTATTAAACAAAGTATATACTATAAAATTGGGAAAACAAACCAACACCATATCATCCATTTTATATGATGACAATCACTAAAAATTGATTGAACCAATAATATATATCATTCAAGATTCCTATGAAAGAAGTTCACAAAGATTGGCAATAAGAGTGGAAGGAACTACACCACATACCATGAATGACATTACCAAATAAGTCTAATTGTTCAATTGCAATCACATAACATCAAACAATCACATTAATTATTGCTTCAAAGTCAAAGGAGGAAGAGGTTATTGATTTGCCATGAAGATGAACAAAAAGAAAAAAAAGAAAAGAAATTGAAAAAGTTATAATAATAAGAGATATCTAGATGATGCAAAAGTTACATCTAAAACAAAAGCATAAATTCAAGTACTTATTAGGTACAATCACAATTACTTTTCATCTCTACTAGGAGCAAATGGTCAAAATTGAAACTAATATGATGGCTATCAAAATCTCACTATATTAATATTAGTATATGGCATCGTAGCGATATACTTAGATCTCATAAGATGATTAAAGCTTTATATTACTAAAAAATGATAAAAAAAGGTTTTATAAACTTTTCACTTATGCAAAATATTTTTCAGATAGTTGAGTTCCAAAAAAATTTTAAAATATAAAATTTCAAATACTGGAGTATAATTCTGAAATATAATTTCTAAATAATATAATTATATATTATTATAAAAATAAATATTTTAAATATATGATTTTATAATATATTTTTTTTCTCAAACTCCTCAATAAAAAATATACTGATTTTATCATTAAAAGTTATTTATTATTTGAAGTTCATTGAGACTACCATAATATTAGCTTTTATTTAATTTTCATTATGTCCTTATATAAATATTTATTAGTAAATTATTTTTTTTATAAAAAAATAACATATTTAAATTTTGATAAGTTTTGTTTAGTCCACAGCCATTTTATAAATAAATTTAATATAGAATTAATTTTAGTTTTGAAAAAATGAAACATATGCTCCCACCTAAAGTTCACTTTTGACAAAATTAACAATTATGCTTTTATAAATTATACTGTATTGAATAATATCATATATAATATTATTTCTGGTACTATATTTATTTTTAATTAAAATTATTGAATATTAGTAACAAATCTCATTAAATCTATGTTTTTTTCTTCAATTATTAATTATAGAAGTAAGAAATCCACTTTTTTTAAATATTTATATATAACTATATATTTTCTCTAGAACTTGAATGCACATTGTGTGATTAAATATTTATATTAATATTTTACTCTAACTTTACATTGTGGCTTTATATTATTTCTATAAAATTTCTTATAATTAATCTCATTTAAAATTAATATAAAAATATAAATTTTCAAAGAAAGAAAGGAGCTCACCTTTTATATATGGAGAGTCCCTTGAGCTTCTCGAGATTGATAACCTAAAAATTTTTTATTTAATTTTAGTTGTCTTGGTCGTTTGAGGCAATTGATCAATCAATCATCTTAGATTTGTATTTAATTTACGTTTTAGTTTTTATTTTAAAGAAGATAAATTAATAAAACTAATGAGATATTTAGTAGTTAACTTTTTATTTTCTATTACTTTAAATCTATATTCTATAATCTATGCTCAATATCTATGTGTGCTATCATACTCTTTACAAAGTGAGGGGTACTAAACTAGAAATACATTTGTAATGAAATTAATGAGATATAAATAGTATATATTTAATTAATGTTATTTTTGCATATCTAAAAAATTTATAATTTAAGTTTTTCAGAAGAGGTACTTTTGGGAAACTTGTCTTGTTATTAAGCACAAAAAAAAATCCTATCCATAATAAAAACTCAAAGACAATGCAAATATCTAAATTACTCAATAAATTTGGGACACACTTTACCATTAATATCGTGGTATAAAAAATGATAAAATATTATAAGTTTTTTCGATATTGCATTTGAGTTTTTGTTGGATTTTCTTCTTTTTCTTTTGTACTCAGTAATAAAAGTTTTTTATTAATGTACTTATTTACATTATAAGGTCATTTTGCAAACAAAAATATTGTATAGTGTTATACACTTGATTTTGTAGATTATGCACTTAATAAAACTCTAGGATATGGATATGACTTTTAAGAAACAGAGAAAACAAAAGAAGTTAACTAGTGATATTCTTATATATTTTTAAAAAGATTTTTAGCTTCCTAGAATCAAAAAATAAAAAAGAAAAACATAGATTGTTGAATATTTTTAATAAAATTTCTCACTAGCTTCTCCACAATCAAGAATTTGAATGAAAGTTTTCCCATCCTTTACATCTTATTCCCTTAATTACTACTATGTTTGTAGAGTTAATGTCCAAGAATAAAAGATGAGTACAAAGGTATCCTTCAAGCTTAAAAGACTGTCTATGCTCTGATCGTGGCGCAAAGTTGAGCCTTTGGAAAATTCTGGTTCTATGGCGGATTACTGCCACTCTCTTGTCAATGCGCCAATGCCACCACCACTATCCAACAGTCCGTCCGCAATCCAGGTACTGATGAACCCACAATACTGTGTAGGAAGAAAGCTTGCTTGTGCTCCAAATGTCTTGTCTGCTCTCTGTCATCAGACGAATTGGATGATGCTCGTGAGATGATCCCGTCCTCATCCTGCTTTCCAGGCGCTTCCAAGTCCCGGAGAAAACTTCATCACCAAGTGTTGTGTCAACTGTTTGAGGGTTACGCGGCTGATTGTGGGCTGTGACACGGGCTCCATTACGGCTAAGACTGTCAGAATTTCTGAAATTTGAGTGGATGCCTGATTCAGCCGTTCAGTATTGGGAAGCAGTGCACTCTCGATGTGTACGAGTGAGTGCTAGTCTAGACTGCTACAAAAGATGGAGAGGTCAGTTAGTAAAACTCTTACAGTGCGTGTTCTTCACAACTCTAATTCACATAATCTGACGCAGCGGCTCAAATTTACTTAGGCGATGGATCTGTCGGACGCGCTCCAATAGTCAACGCTCGCAATTCCACTCCCGTCACCTACATTGAGACTCCAGGGATCCCTACACAGCACTCGATCCGGACCCCAGGGAAACCTGGTGGAGGGAGAGTTGTAGCAGCACCAATGCTTTGCTGGTAATTTGGCCTTGAATTTGATTGTATTATAACTTAAGGCCATTAAATAAGGAGCATCTATTTATACAAAAAAAAAAGGTAAGTTCTTACGCTTCAGAAGGTGGGATTTGCTTGAGAATTTCATTAGACTTCCACCAAGCCAGCACAGGTTTTGCCAACTGCCCAGCATTTGCTACGCAATCTCTATTTAAATTTAATGGTTCAGTTTGAATACTTTTATGTAATCAACTTAAATTACATCCAGATTAAATTTTTATTACCTAAATTTAATCTGGAAAGTTTACATTTAATTTAAGTATAAAAGGTGTTGCTTCTTTATCCTTTAGACAATTAAATAATCAAGCTAAGAAAACGTGCACGGAATATCCTCTTTAGATTTTCTTATTCTCACTATGCACTGACGAAAATAAGAATCTCCGCTGAACGAGCTTGCGCTTGCTTAGAACACGTCCGGGTTGTAGCGATTCGGGATGGAGCTGTTGTCTTGGGCTCTTCTCAGGTGGACGGTGAGCGCGTAATTGTTAAGCTGTGAACATGACACAAAAGGATTATTCATGCCACGAAAGCAATGAGCGATGGCTTGGCTTACCTCTAGAGTCCTCATTTGTTCCTGGTACTGTGTCACGAGTTGCTTCAAATGCTTCACCTCCTTCCCCTTCTCGTCGATCTCCGCCGAGTAGCGCTCGTGTTGGATGGCCACTGCCCGCTTGAGGATTCCATTGTCTTTCACCATCACTTGGAGCTGCCCCTTGAGCGTTTCATTCTCCTAGAAACATATGGAAACACGCAGCAGTAGCTTAGCGAGCAGCCAGTGAAAGAGAAAAATCCACACCTTTTGGATGGCTTCCACTGCAGCGGCATTTCGAGTCGTGACGGCCTTCTCGAAAGACTCCAGTGCTCTGGTTGCGCGCACGCGAGCGTCTGTGAGGTCTGAGGCACTGAGCATCTCCCGCACGAAGAGCTCCACCCATTCTAATCCTTCGCTGCTCGCTGGCTGTTCCTGCTGCTGGTGGGCCGACGCTGCTGGCGCGTGCTGCGAAGCACTGCTCACCGCTGGCCTCTCGTTTGAGAGCCGCAAATCGTTAAGGCATTTGATGGCATCGTCTAGATTGTTTCCACAGTTCTCAATGACCTTCTCGACAAGCTGGCGAAAAAAGAGAGAAAAAAAAAATGTCACAATGTCAACTTCAGGAAAAGAAAGCTTCTTTTCTCTTTGAAGAAAAGAACACGGTTTTACCTGTCCATCCATGTCAGGATACAAAGCTCTGAGCTGGAGAAAGATGTCGTGTGACGAGGAGGAAGGAGAGCTCGGCCCAGTGGTACCAGGAGAGCTGCTCCGGCCAAAAACCGGAGCCGCCGAGGGAAAACGAACTGGAGAATTCGAATTCCCACCGCAGCGTCTCTTGGAGAGGGGAGTCGAGATTGGAGGAGACCCGTGTAGCTCGTCAAAATGCCGCTTCTGACAAACAGCCGCAGACATGGCAACTGGTGCGACCCACTTTTCTTCGTGATGGCGCTAATCCAAACGTCCTATAACACTCTTCAATCCTGCAAGCTCCACGGATAACAAATCCCTGCTCATGCGCCCCCCGCGAAGAACCCTAGAAATTCCCACTGCCGCGGCGCTCGGATCCCCCAATCTGCCGTCGCAGCCGCTCACCTTGCGCACGAAGCTATGCCGGCTGCGATGACGCGCCCCGCATTCCAATAACCCTAGCCCGAATCACACGCCTTAACAGCGCCGCTTGGGGGCTTTTCTAGCTTTCTAGGGCAATAAAATACAGCGAAACGGCAACGAGAAAAGTTAGCGGCTGGTTTAGTTTTAAGAACGGGTATATTCCTTGCGCGTACGCGTGCCACGTGGCAGAGTGTCCGTACCGGGTTTTTAGGGTTTCTTCAGCTGAGCCGTCGTGTCTCTCCAATGGGCAACCGGCCTTGCGCGTCGCGAGCGCGACGAGGGAAGCGGTGCCGCATTTGGGAAGCGCTAGAGCTGTGCGGCGGCGCGGGCATGGAATTTCCGTGCTGGCGCCTCATTCGTTTCCGGGGAATGCATTGCAATTGCAATGGTTGATCCTCCTCCGTGTAAGTTTGTCCCTTCCTCGTCGCTCTCTCCACTTCTCCTGATAAGCTCGCCTCTAGCTGGCCTGTGATCGTTCTTCCCGGTTTGGAGTTTGGACAAGAGAAGGAGAAACGAAAGATGGGAGACACCAAGAAGAAATGCCTGGGGCGATTCGAGACCTCCTACATGAGGGCGGTAAGTTCTTGCGCGTATCGTTCGTTCTAGAATCCTTTTCGTTTTTCTAGATGGCCCCTCCGGAGCCTTCGGACTATCCTCCACGCACTCGAGACTATGGTCAGTACATGAAGGTGCTAAACAACATTGAGATGAACAAGAAGTTCCAGTTCCCGATGGGCCTCCCGAAATACAAGTAAGTCTCTCTCGCTCCCAGCTCCAAAGTTGGTCTGATTGATCGGAGTTTGACACAGGTATGATTTCTGCGATGAGAAGTATCCTCTCCCGGGAGAGAAGAAGAAACCATCCAAGCCGCCGCTTAAGTACAAGCCGAGTTGTCCACAGTACGCACCATACCACTCGACGATGCAGGACATGAGTTTGATCCAGCGACGCCTTGACACGGAGCCCGAGCAGGAGCATACGTGGTACCGTGACAAGGTAAACTTTCTCCTTTACCGCGGATGAATGTTTCGGGTGGTTTTGCTTGGGTCATGTCTCTTCGTGTCATGTCCTTTGGTTTTTTTCGTGCCTGTTTTGCGCAAGAGCTTTGGTTTTTCATGAGGGGGTAAGGCATGGTGTAAGCAGACGGACAGCATGCAAATGAAGAAGCTTGGGCAGATTAAGGAGCAGCTTGACAGTCTCAAACAGTTGTTTGTGGAGGAGCGGGGGAAGTGCCAGGATCTGGAGGTACAACTCGAGCGTTTGAGGGCGAAGTCTTCTCAGACACCGAGGAGGAGAGAAGTGGGCATTAGCGGCAGTAGGGAGGAGACTCCACGGATCAACGAGAGGCTCCTGACGTCGTCCGAGGCCGACAAGGTTCTCTCTTGGCTGGCGAGTTTTGACGAAGGTGGTGGTGGTGGAAGTTATGGCAACAATGCGTCGACCGCCGTCGCAAGCACGGTTTTTGATAGGCAGAAGTCGCCGAGAAAGACGTGGGCTTTCAAGGACCAGGTCTGCTTGCCGGGATTTCATCATTCCAGAGAGAAGGTAATGCAAGCATGGATGGGATTTGAGCAAGGTGAAAAGGAAACTATTGGTGATTACAGTGAAAGGTTTTGGAAGCTACGGATGGAGATGATGGGGGTGCAGTCGCTGAGCAACGAGGAGCAGCTTCGCAGGTTCACTGCTGGGCTCAAGTTTAAGATCAGAAATGAGGTGACTGCCTTGAGGCCGGGTTCTCTGTCCGATGCTATACTGCTAGCTGAGAGAGCTGAGGCTCGGAGCGCTGCCAAAACTAGGCCGACTCGAGCCAAGTCGAAGAAGCTCCCGAGGAAAGCTAGCGTGATTGCAGAGACAGCGGGAAAGAAACCGCGGCAGCTCCAGTTGCTAAGTCCGGTGGAGCAAATACAGTACTTAAATCGTCACAGCTCTTGCGGGTGTAGGAAGGAGGATCTGCCTCCCGAGGACCAAAAGCAGCAGCAGTAGATGGCTCTTCCAAAGAATGTTGCTTCCTAGCGGCTCGAAAATAAATGGACAAAGAAGTTCAACAACGTCGTTTCTAGCTAGAGCTTCGACAACCGCAGAGATGGTTTTCTTTATTTATTTTTCTCTTTTTTCTTCTGGGAATCTTGAGTTAGAGTGACGTTTCTGTCGGTCTTGGTTCGTACAGGTGGATTTCTTCTTCTTCTTCTCTTTTGTTTTGGTTGATAATGGTGGACTATCCTTGCAGAAACCACCGAGAATTATCAGGCCTATCGACTTGTTTTCAAAGAAACCGAGGACAGCGAGTCCAAAGTGTGGCCAAAGATCAACGTGTGATGATACCGACTGCGACTCTCATCTAGAAGAGAGGTCCGTTTAACACAAGCTTCTGTTGCGACAAAGGCTTTCTGTTTTTCCAGGATACCCGAGAGTTCATTCCACAGGCTAGAACGCGTTCGTCACGAACTTAAGCTGCAAGACGACCCACGGTAAATTCTTCCCTCTTCTTCCTTAAAAGAACGTTTTGGTAAATCAGGACTGTGCTCGGAGCCTACTACGATCGCTTGCAAACGGCTCCCGAGCCCAAGAAACGCCCGAAGATGCCATATTTTGCTGGAGCAAAGAAACGGCCCATTCCTCCACCTCCGCCAAGACCAAAGCCTCCTCAGGTAACTACAAAAGCATTCTTTTCCATAGCTTAAAGATCAAAAGTTCTTCACAGATGGATAGGATCATCCTGGACAAGTCACGAACTTCGAGAGAAGGGACCACGTATGGCTTCGCCAACAGCATGACGATGAGAGCCGGAGCGATGCTATCGCCACCGCAGAAAGATCCCAGAGACAAAGTAAGCTGCTCTGTCTCGATCAACCTATCACTTACTTGTTCTTGGTTTTCCACAGCCCAAGGAAGGAGTTCATTCATTCTTCTCGCGAGGATCCTCGGACTTAACATCAGAGAATGGAACTGTAAGTTCCCTTTCTATGATTTCATCTTCTCGCAAGAAAATCACGCTAGATATCCTTCCAGGCGATGGCCGAGTGCTTCTACGCTCATGCGAGGCCTTATGGAGCTACATTGGTTACTTTGGCGGCAGACAAAGCCCTTAACTCGAGGTACTTTTAAGTTTCAGCCGTTCGATTGGCATTTTGCCAAGTTTGAATGGAACGTTGAAAATTGACTGGACCATTGACCCCGAAACCGCGGTGCTTGGGCCACTGGCTGGCCACCACGTGTGCGCTGCTGTGGAAGCGGTGTAAATGAAAGGACGTGTGTAAATTTTCGAAAACCCTAGGGCGGGATTTCTCCCAAGGGCAGCAAGGGCGATGGCGATCATCTTGTGCGTAATCCAAGTGAGTGAGCTATAGATCGATCGGTATCGGAGGAGCAGCGGCGATTTCTCATGGCATTCATAGAGGTCAGGCCAGTGCCGCACGAATCCGATGCACAAAAGGATCTCGAGGCGCTGTACTTCCTGGCGCAAAAGAGGAGCTTGGTTCTTGAGGAGAAGCATCTGTCGATCCGAAAGGAGGTGGCCAAGCTTCGCGATATGGTGCTGGAAATGCAGATGGATCCGGTGTTCATCCCCGTCCAGATCACGGAGTGCGACGAGTGCGTCGAGATGAGCTCGCCAGACGCGCTGGAGGTGGAAATCCGGCAGCTCCAGGACGAGAGAAATTCGGCGCTCCAGGAGATGGAGAAGAACACGGTGTTTTGCAGCGATTATAGCAGCTTCATGGAGCAGAAGACGTGCGCGCTTGTGGAGAAGATGTACGAGTACTACGTCAACCTCCATTCCAAGATCGAGGAGATCATGAAATCGAGGAACAAGGCCGTGGAGGAGCTCCACTACGTGTTGGGATTCATCGCCAAGATGGAGAGTAGCTTGGATGCGTTCCAAGCAGCACACAACCAGGTACTTCTCCTTGACAGCTTCACACACCTTTGTGTTATTGCTTGCTGATTTGAGAAAGGGATAGTTGGCTCACAGACGGTTGCAGAGAAAGAGAGCCTGACGAAGGAGCTGTGGCAAGCTCGAAGCGATAAAGACCGGATTTTCCGAGAGCTCTCCGAGTTTATCAACCGGGAGGAAAACGTCAATGCGGCGGTGAGGAGGCTCACAGTGGACAAAGAAAGGCTTCAGAAAGAACTCAGCAGCTTTGCGGCTGAGAAAGAAAGTCTGGCGAGGAATCTCAACAAAGTTGTGGAGGAGAAGACGAACATCGCCTCCGAGAGAGAAGCGTTGGTCAAGAATTTGAGCCAGGTTGCTGCTGAGAAGGAGCGTCTTCATGTAGAGTATAAGACCTCGCAGTTCGAAAAGGAAGATAACATCCGGAGGCTAACTTTGCACAAGGACCGTCTTGAGGAAAGCATATCGAGCATTACATCCGAGAAGGACAGCTTGGCCAAAAATCTGAAGGAGGTGGCGTTTGAGAAGGAACGTCTTGAAGAGGACATGAAAAGCGCGCACTCGGAGAAAGAAGCTCTTGCGACAAACTGTAGAAGGCTGACTGTACATGCAGAGAGTTTAGAGGGAAGCATAGGGAGGATAACGTCGGACAAGGATTCGCTTGACAGGAACTTAGCAAGAGTGGCAGCAGAGAAGCAGCTTCTCTGCGTAGAAAACGAAGGATTGCAGAGGGAGAAGAGGAGCCTCTCTTTGTGCAAAGACAGATTAGAGGAAGATCTCAAAGCTACTCGAACACAGATAGATGCTTTGGGCGATCAAATCGGCGGGTTTGTGAAAAGCAGGGAGAGTATGGCTAAGGAAATCACAGACTTGACGTCGCAGAAGGAAGCTCTAACGAAAGAAGTCTCTAGCATTTCTTCCCAGAAGGAGAACTTGTCCAAGCAACTCACAGCCGTCACGGCTGAGAAAGACAACCTTGCGAAAGAGCTCAAGGAGAAAGTGGTGGAGAAAAGCAGGCTGGAGAGCGACGTGAGAGTGAAGTCCTCGAAGATCGACGCACTGGAGAAGAAGCTCAAACAAGTGGAAGGAAGAAGGTACAAACCGTATCTCTCCTTCATGCATTAGAAAGACCCCACGCTCTTCACTTGTCCTGCAACGTTGCAGAGACATGCAGGAATTTATTCTGGAAGATCGTTCTAAGCAATTATGCCACAC